CAAATAAGCTTTTTAGAAATACCGTATAAACTCAAATTTATCCGGTTAAAGAAGTAAATTTTTTAGGTATAAATAGATAGAGATATAGGATTGATTAAAAATGCTAATGATATTGAATGAATGCTAACTACTGACGACACTATTGTTTTTGTTTTGTTTTTATTTACTATTACTATTATTTTATTAATAATTATATTTAATAATTTATAGCCAGGCTACTCTAAATGAAATGAATGTTTCAGTAACTGCGAATTCACTTGTGATAAACCACTACTGTGACTATTATTACGAGTGTCAATGATTGCTACTCTGAAACTACACTCCTATGATAAAGTGATTAATTTCAGTCACTGTGATCACAACTTTGATAAATTAATACATACTGTGATTTGTGATCTGTCATAATAACTTACTGTAGTGATTGTCATAAGTCATAGGCAAAACTACCAATGATCACAATAATATTATAATAATATATACACCGATTTTACTAAAGCTTTCGATCGTGTGGATCATACTAGTATGTTACTTGCGAAAACTCAGCACGTAGAAATGCACGAAAAATACCATCGATGGCTTACATATACTGAATCGAACACCATTCGTTTTTAGCGGATATGAGTCTTTACCTTTCTTGGCAGTATCTGGGGTGCCGCTGGGATGAAATTTGGGGTCCTTTTTATTTTTAATATTTATTAATGACTAGCTTTTGCCTGTGGCTCCACCCTCGTTGTATGTCGGTTATCGCAGTAAAAAGCCTATGCTTAGCCTATGTATTTCCTCAAAAATCGAACTATCTCCATACCAAATTTCATCTAAATTAGTTCAGCGGTTATTGATTTCCCATACAATCCGCCAACTTTTCACCCCCCTTAAAGATGATTGCTGGGACTTAAATTATCTTTATACCAAATTTCATCTAAATCGATTCAGCGGTATGGTGAAGAGGTGAACAGACAGAGAGATAGACACACTTTCTCATTTATAGTATTAGTATGGATTTTTTAGACAAAATTGACAGCGAGTTGTTGGCTGACTCAGATGATATAAAAAAAGAAGACAACAGCTAACTGGTGTAATGATAATTCTCTATCTCACAACACAAAAAAATGTCATGTTATCACATTCATGGCGTTATTACTGATAGAGTCAGAGTGGTCTGCAATCTAAGGGTGAGTTTTGATGGTGCCATGTCATTAAGGCCCCTCAATATGATTACATTTGCAGAAAGGCAAACCATGTGCTTTCTTTTGTGCTTCGGAATGCTAGGCAATTCAAACAGACAAGTTCTCTGCTAACTTGTTACAACGACTTTTAGAGTGCTGTTCATGTATATGGTTTCCATACATATAGGGGATATATGGAACCCAAATAGATAGAGTTGCAGATGTGCAAAGATTTTTGTCAAAGATCTATAGTCGAAGTTGTGTTTGAGACGTATAGTCCAGGCACGTTGAATATGGAGAACAAAAAAATGTTATCCAGAAACCTACGTTTTTAAATGGTTAAAAGGGTTAAAGTCAACATAAGGAAAATGTGTTATGTGCCCAAGAAAGTTAGGGGATGATTTTAGGGGTTGAAAAGGGGTGAAAATGGATACATCTCGTGTTTTTTGCAATTTCACGCGAAATTTGATGTCCTACTAAAAATTTTAAATACAAAAGTTGTAGATCTTGGAAAAATCTACAACTTTTGTACGGGTCATTTTTTGATATAACCTCAAAATTTCAGAAAAAAATGCAAAAAATCAAAAAAATTTTTTTTATTGTTTTTTACTTGTCAATTTCTCAAAAATAAATATTTTTTAATCAAACTTGCTGAAAGTACTCCTTTTTGTGTTCCAAACAAAAAATAATAATTTTAGATTGAAATATTAAAAACTGTTTGAAAGATTCATTTTTTTCGGTCCGAAACACGTTGTTTTCAAAGTTACATTTTACTACTTACAATCATCGTAGAGACGTCATTAATTTCATCGCGAGAAATGAGGAACTTTTCTTATTAAAGTAAAAGTCGATCGCATTGTATGTACTTACCTGACATCTTTCAAGTACACGGAATATGCTATTACAATGTTTATAGCAGTATTGTACAAAAATAAAAAAAATATTTAAATGGGAAAACATATGTTTCTTCGTGTTTTTTCCCGTACTTTTCAATGGTCTTATTAGTTTTTGTTTTTTTTTTTATTTATAACAAATTATTAACAATAACCAAAAAATTTGTTTTTGCAAAATTAATTTTTTTATACTTTTCAAATTTTAGACATGTTTTTAAATGGAAGCTGTATTGTTTTATTATTTCATTAAAAAGTAGACGTCAAAACGAAAAAAATGAGCCCTGTATGACCTCTCTACGATGATTGTAAGTAGTAAAATGTAACTTTGAAAACAACGTGTTTCGGACCGAAAAAAATGAATCTTTCAAACAGTTTTAATATTTCAATCTAAAAATTTTTTTGTTGTTTGGGATACAAAAAGGAGTACTTTCAGCAAGTTTGGTTAAAAAATATTTATTTTTGAGAAATTGACAAGTAAAAAACAAGAAAAAAATTTGTTTTTGATTTTTTGCATTTTTTTCTGATATTTTGAGGTTATATCAAAAAATGACCCATTCAAAAGTTGTAGATTTTTCCAAGATCTACAACTTTTGTATTTAACATTTTTCAGTAGGACATCAAATTTCGCGTGAAATTGCAAAAAACACGAGATGTATCCATTTTCACCCCTTTTCAACCCCTAAAATCATCCCCTAACTTTCTTGGGCACATAACACATTTTCCTTATTGACTTTAACCCTTTTAACCATTTGAAAACGTATGTATCTGGATAACATTTTTCTTTTTTTATCTCTGTAAATGAGTCAATGTGCCTGGACTAGTAAGGCGTCGAGTTACGATGACAGGCTTTGACTGCTTGTAATTTATAGTTTGGAAAAAAAGGAGGTAGATAAGCGACCGGTGCACTCTACACGAGATAGTTTGTGGCTCACTTGACTGCCAACTTCTTGACAAAGTAAATTTTAAAATATCAACCCGATCCGTATTCCTCTCAATTGTTTACTTTACTTAGGTACCTGTAACAATAATGTTTCACAAAACAATCCGATTTAAAGAATATGTAAAGAATATAACGCCTGCTCTCAAACTGACATATTTCATAAAAAAGTTAATGTCTTCCAAAATTTTTATGTCAGTAAAACTGAAGTTGATAACCCAAAAAAAATAATTGGTACTCTTTAATTGGACTGCAGATTTATAACGTTTTTATTGTGTAGCATACAAACATGTGATTCTTGATCTGTTTATGTATGCATTGAATAAAATAAAAAAAAGAAGCTACAGCTGAAGGAATGCTATCAAAGGTTAAACAAAGAAAACATTTACCATAGAATCTTAAAAAGTCGTACTTAATTTGAATTTAAATTTTAATAATTATTTGTTTTAATTATTTTTCGTAATTTTGGGTTTTAATAAAAAAGAGTATCTAGTAGTTTGACAATTTTCACTTTGACTTTCCCTCATACTTATTAGACAGGCTTGGGACTGACAATGATGATGATGACTACAATAATTAATAATAATACATCACACATCTCTAACGAGTGTCACAATCACAACACATGCAAATACGAAATTGAGATAAATTATTACATAAAACAGATTGACAAACGTAAACTTTATCGGCTAAAAAAACATAATATAGTGCACCTTCTCGTCGATGGCATGAAATACCCTTCTTTAATAAGCCAGTTGTCAACCTCTTTCCCCGGTCGCGGTCGTGGAGCAACGCTGCGGCGCGGTATGAAGGAAGAAGCGCGGAGTCCCCCTCCTGCCCGCAACGTTTACAGTAGTACCAGCCAGCTTCCCTTGCATATGCATACGCATTTGGTGCAACACAAGATTACTAGCAATATTATTATTATTTCCGTATTCGTTCACAATCACAACACATGTAAATACGAAATTGAGATAAATTATTACATAAACAGATTGACAAACGTAAACTTTATCGGCTAAATAAATCATAATTATAGTGCACCTTCTCGTCGATAGATGGCATGAAATACCCTTTTTTAATAAGCTGTCTAATAAGTATGAGGGAAAGTCAAAGTAAAAATAATCAAACTACTAGATACTCTTTTTTAGTATAGTCCTGTCCTATCATAATAATAGTATAATTAATTACTCCACACTGACTGACACCACATTAGTAGTATCTATGTTGTACCCGTGCGCAGCCGGGGCGGATCGCTAGTTTTGAATATCTAACAATAATAATTATTTTCAGATCTTGCATCAATAATTAAAGACTGTTGATGTTGATTCTATGTTCCTATTATTCATGGGTAAATTATTGTTAAGCATATAATTTATATTAAAGGTGATTTTTAATTTTTGTTACCACAGCAATTTCTAATACTTAATTATTTAGTACTTTCGTTTTTGATATTAAGTTTTATGCAAGTACAAAGGTTGTTTTTACTACTTGGATACTTTTGATATTGTTGTCATGATACTTTAACAAGTTCTTGTGTGACACACCCAACTTTAATCATTCCAAATGGTTCTTTTTTGTTTTAGTATGTATATTATTGTCTAAAAACTTGTGATATTATTGTTCCTAATAAAACAGGCAACACCATATTATTGATTTCTTCTGAAAAACTTCCTAACAGAAAAAGTTTTCATTTCATTTAATTCCATAATTTTGTTTATAAAAGGGACAGATTGCCAAAATTAAATAATAAGTAGAATAAGAAAATAAATTAAAACCTATTATGATAATAGGTTTTAATTTGTCTATAAATATTATGGGGTCTTAAATAGTCTTCATAAATATGGCTTAGATTCTATTATATGATAACCCAGAAAAAATTATAGAATGTTGAGACAAAAAGGAACTGTGATGAACATTGCAGATGGGCTAAATGTATGTTACCACGTTACATTGGCGTATTTAAAAGTTCTTTTTTTTATATATATAAACTATGTTTATTAATTATTTACAATATTCTGAGTTGTAATTTAAGAACACCAACTCAGCTGTTCGTTTGCGACTAAGGCGAGCTCGTTTTGCTGCAATAACATTTCCAGCCTTAGAGAACACTCTTCCACACTCCACAGAGCTGACAACAATGTGACTAATTTCTTTAAAGATTTCGGCCAAATATGGATAGACACATTCATGTGATTGCCACCATTTCAAGGGACAGGAATCCCGTGCCGCCACTTCCTCACTTAGAAACATTTCTAACTCCCACCTTGCTCTTTCGATGACATTATCCACCGGAGGCGTTACTGCTGCTATATTTGTATTAATTTTGCGCCATAAAGTAAGCGGTGTCATAGAATCACCCAAATCTGAAGACGTAGACTGATTAGAGACAGTTTGGGTTATTGTGGCAAATTCTTGCGTTGTATTCATCTTTTTTTTATTTATTTTATTTATTAAATTGTCTAAGATTTCTTGCTTGATTGTATCAACCCTTTGTGTACGGTGAGTCATTTCTAGTGTTGACACCTCACTTGTCTGGTCTAAAAATGCATGCACCTTAAATCTTGGGTCTAAGAAAGTGCATATTCCAAGCATGAGGCTATTTTCTATTTCGTGACTTGGAAAATATGAATTTAGCCCCCTCTCCAACTTATCTAAAAATGACTGTGTCACATTAAAAGCTGGCTTGTTCTTCGCCAACTGTATAACATTTTTTAGGCCATCCACAATCACAATGGCAAGGCTTGCGGTGAGATATCTTGTGTCACTCATTAGTCTTGTTGCCTCCTCAAAGGGTTGCAATATCAAGCATACCTGTCTCATTGTGTCCCACATTTCTGTAGAAATGACAGGCAGGTCAGCTGCTAAATTGGGTATGACGGCCAGTAATGCTCCTTGAAGTTGAATAAATCTTTGGAGCATGTAGAACACTGAGTTCCACCTCGTTGGTACTGACTGTATTAGTTGAAGTGCTATTGATTTTTTCTCAAAATCTGTTTGGTATTTGATCAATGATTCTGTTGCATTATGACTTTTTTTGAAATGGGCAACAATTCTTTTTACTTTATCCACTAAAAAATTTATTACATCTAAAGCTTTTTCCACTACTAAATTAAGCTTGTCGAGAAAGCAACCAAAAAATGGCCACCCAACTTCTTTAATGGCATTACTTATATTCTGAGTGTTATCTGAAACCGCTAGTGTTATTTTATCCGAAATTTGCCATTCCTGTGCTACAGTTTCTAGAGCACGAGCTAATGACGACTCAGATGTATGAGAATCACTAAAGTGCTCGCAATGAAGCAAAACAGATTTAAGCTCATAATCTATCATAAAGTGAGCTACGACAGATAGATACGAGTCCATGGTTAGGGAAGTCCATGAGTCTGTAGTAATGCAGACTCTCTTTACATTTTGCATTAAAGTTGCAACTTCTGCTTTGCAGGCTACATAAAGACTTGGTACTAATGTACCAGATATTAATTTCCTGTCGGGTAACTCGTAATTGCGATTCAACGCTTTGACAAAATTTTTGAAGCCTGTGTCCTCGACAATAGAAAAAGGTTGATAATCTAATGTAATCATTTGTACTAACTTTTTATCTAGTAACTTTTTCTGCTGTTGGTCTATTCGACGATTGCGTCGCGATATCAAAGGACGACTTGAACGCTCCAGTTGCAATGAGCCGGATTCTATTTCTTGTGTGTCTGTGGTAGTGACAGGTGATGTCTGGTCTGCCGGTACAATTATTTCAACCTGCACCGATGTTGGCGACGGCGGCGCATTTGCAGTGAATTCTCCATCATTTAATAAGTTTTGACATGCACTCAAATGCTTAGAGCTTAAGTGTTTTTTTAAATTTGTTATACTGGTCTTGTAGGAATATTCTTTTTTACACAGTAAACACTCAGCCACAAGTACACCCGGTACTTTTTCAAAATAATTCCAAATCGAACTCATGATTGCCTCACTCAATGTTGATAAGCTAAACGGTAATAACTAAAGGTAACCTAAAACTCACAATTATTTTTCACTAAAGAAATAGGCATAGAAATGTTTTATCAATCACAGTACAAGTACCTCACACTCCCAGTTTGTAATTATAAAAATATTTGTAAGTAAACTATGCAATTATTACGAAGAAACAACAATAAATCATTCAGCAGTTTGTGCACTTCTATAGTGTTACCAATTCTCAAAAAAAGCTGCAGTTAAAACCCCTAAATTATACACCGTTCTTCGAAAATCCCCCTAAAATAAAAAACAATAATTAACACATTAATAAGGCATGGAAATGATTGCTCATCAAAACTAATGCTCATATGATTTAATTTAATGATTGGTTTCAGTCACTAACTCACTGCGACTACATCTATGATAAATCATTACTGCGATTTGTGATCAGGGGCAATGACTATATAGTGATTGTCATACTTCATAAATTATGTACACTGAAAAAAAAAGCATACTTACAAAGTTTTTAGCAATCACAATACAAGTGCCTCACACTCTATATAGTCATAGCAAACCTTATGAGAAAAATCAAATACCATTATTTATTTGTATTGTGCAAGATTGAAAATGTTTTACTTTTAACATTAAAAAAATTACTGAAATCACTGAAATTACTGAAATCAAAACGAATTTTAAAAAGAAAATTATTTTTTTAAGACTAATGTACTAGATTTTAATTTGACCAATACGATGGTGAGAACACAGTGCAGTGTTCAATATATATTTAACTCTGGCTAGAGATGGACAAAAAACCGGGTTTAAATCTTTTAGTGGATTGTTATTCGGGTGTTTATTGATTTTACTGCTTTAAAAACCGTAAATGTATTAACATTTCAATTAATAAACTACAATGTATGAATATACTTTTCTACTCTCATCTCTATTTCTTAAATTCTTGTTACCTGATGAAACTGGCTACAGCGAATGGATTATAAAACAAGAGAATGCTTTTGGAGCAAACAATTTGTTTGTCAATGCCTGGGTTAAATTGAACCAGTTGTGCGGTGGAAATGTATACGCAATTCTGCAAAATTGAGAGCATTGAGAATTCTGATAGCACCATATACATCTGCAGCCACAGAAAGCACATTTAGCACTCAAACTTACATACAAAATGTTAAACGGAATCGTCTTACAGCCGAAAGCGCTGCTAAAATAACGTTTATTTCATATAATTGTAACATATTAAATGAAAATATATCAAAGAATGCACAAGCACCGATGAATAGGTCAGTGAGTCAACTCCCAAGGGGAATTCACCGGTTAAAAATGACGTTAATTAGGTGAGGTCGACGTATCATCTCAATATATTATTGCACCGCAACAACACGAGTATATGAATTGGAATTCTTCGTTTGTGACAATTTCTCAGATTGATTTAGATATTGCATGCAAAATTTGTGCATAATAATAAAAATAATTTATATGTACTTATTTATTTTATTAAATAAAATTAAACCCATTATCAAAATAAGGATTTTGGTAAAAATAGGAAGAACCGCTTTGCATATTAATCCTTTCTAAAAAAAATCTAATCGGTCGGGATCTAGGCGGAGACAAAGAAACAAACATTGATTCTCCTTGTTTCTTAAAAGAGGTTGAAAAGCATGCTACCATGGCTATGGAAGCGTCTTTTCATTCTTAGATTATAAAATACTAAAAATTTCAAAACAGGTGACATCCTTCTAACAATAATTGTCACATTTGATGTCCCGAAGTGATAGGGCACTCGACAAAACTAAAAAAAACATTATTAGTAGTTTTTAGGATGATAATAGTTAAAAACCTGCCATTTGGGTTTTCATTTGGGTATAGGCCCGTTTCTTCGCCAAAAACCCGGTTCAAACCTAATTTTTTTAATTCCGTCTTAAATCCGTTTAAATCCTCTGCCCATTTATGTCCATGGCTCACCCACGCAATAATGCGTGCACACAATCACTAATGATTTAAGAATTATATGATTATTCCCGGTGATTATGATTTTATTCCATGCCCAACATTAATGGGTTTGGCAACTGTTAAAATAGTGCTAGGTAAATTAAGTTCATTCCAAATACATTGCATTTTTTTATGTTTCTTCCGACGAGCCTTTTCTCAAACTAGGTTGGGGTTCGGCTTTAAAGGTCATATACCTCATTACACCCACCCGACACCCAACCAGCACCACCTCGACTCGAAGTCTACTTGATACGACTGGACTTCGATTTTTTACGCGAAGGGCTGGCATCACACCTCCACAACCAAAGTACTAGGCGATATCGAAGTTCTGTAGAAAGACTGTTGTCAGACTTTTTAGGGCTCCAAGTAACCGTAAGGAGCGGGTTTCTCTGCCCGTCCGCCGCACGCGACCGACGAAACAGACAGTACGACTCCGCCGACGACGTTCGTAAGAACCCAGAGCTAAACATTACCGTACATAGCATTCGTACACTACCGGCGACGGACACGCGTCGGTCGTCGGCCGTGTGTCAGACAACCTCATACCTATGGATTGCCTCAGATGTTCGAATGATAACCGGGACGTGGTCTCCGAGGCGTGGAGGGGTGTCTGAATGTATTAAGAATGGTCACCCGTCTATAGACTGACTGGCTAGGATTGCTTACCTTTGCAATGTGTTAACTTCAAAGACTGAGTATTTGAAATCTGGCGCTAGCGTAGTCATAATCACTCACTCGTAGTCGCACGTCGCAGTAGTCACAGTGACTTTGTAGATTCAGACACAGGTGTGATGTGTGATTTTAAAAAGCGTAATTATGATTACTTACAGTCTAAAACTCAAACTCTCTTTATTTCATTTTTTTTATTGTTTGAAATCGTCTTCTGGCTAATGAAATCTGAATCCGACGATTTACTAATTTGCAACACTATAGTAAATGTCACTGACGGATGACGCTGTCTTCATCTGAGGGAATCATAAACAAAACGATTATAATGGTGGGGTGAGCTCCATTTTACTATCTATACAAATAAATAAAATTGGAGTGTCTGTTTGTAATATTAAAATAACCGCTTTTTACTAAATGCATGTATGTTTACACGGTACATATCTATATCTATACAAATAAATAAAATTGGAATATCTGTTTGTAATATTAAAATAACCGCTTTTTACTAAATGCATATGTATGTTTACACGGTACATATGCCAAAATAACATTTTTTACAATTTTTGTCTGTCTGTCTGTTTGTTCCGGGTAATCTCTGGAATGGCTGGACCGATTTCGACGGGACTTTCACTGGTAGATAGCTGATGACATAAGGAGTAACTTAGTAGTACTTAAACAAAGTAAAATAACCAATATATATATTAGTTCTTTTTTCAAAGTCCTAAAAAGTAGTTAGGTCCTTTACCGTCTTTTAGTATTTATAATACGTGCCATACGAGTCTGCGCCAATGAATTTAGCTGAAAACCGAGTGTTACGCTGGTACACTCGGTTTGCAGCTAAGTATAAAAATACATTTTATTTACTGTTTGCGTGAATTATTCATTATTTATTTCATTTTTCTATTATTATAAGTTTTGTGCTCTTGTCTACTGTAGAACAGATTCGCTTTACCAAAGAAAGCAATCATCGCCCTTAAAGATTTATCATTCACATGTGATAAGTCTTCTTCATATCTCCTCTTTTAATCTCAATATTCATAAATCTCAACACCCAACATCTTCAGTGTATGTATCACCTATATACTGATGATCTGCAGATTTATTCACAGGCAAGGGTAGAGGATTTAGAGCGGACCAAATTGGAATCCATAAATTGGTCGATGAAATTTAGATTGTCGGTAAACCCAACCAAATGCCAGGCGATCATTATAGGCAGCAAACACATGATAAGTTGCCGAATAATACGACTGCAGCTATGTATTGGTGATTAAATACGAACTTATTTAAGATTTTCTGATTAGCGACTTCTATCGGATTTTAGGCGAACGTTTTTTTCTAATCTAGAGGAATTTTAGAAACCAGCTAGCCACTTTTATTTTAGTTCAACGGCAACACTGACGGTCATTTCATTCATCCATCATCTTGTGTTGTTTATTTTTCGGGATACGTTCGTGTTTATTTTTTGCTGTTGATTAAATTAATTCAATTCTCTACCATTATTTTTCCAAAATCGTCAGCAGTTACCAAATTATGTTAGAATATGGATGCCGTATTTGATATATGTTACCTATCGGCTGAGGGTAACAATGTTGAACCTGATGATATTCCTCAGACAAAGGAAAGTGTGTGGATTCTGGGAAAAAAATATAGTCCTGTTCAGGGTATGACAAGTTTGTTTTTTAAAAGTAAATATCAATGTATGTAGAAATGTAATGAGTATATCTTTTCCAGATTTGGATCGCATCAGACGTGATATCACGTCAATAATTTGGTGTACGTATAGAAAAGGCTTTATACCCATTGGAGATGAGGGTCTTACATCGGATAAAGGATGGGGCTGCATGCTTCGATGTGGCCAGATGGTGCTTGGTGTAGCGCTTGTCAGAATCCATCTGTCAGCTGATTGGGTTTGGACTCCAGATACAAGGTATTCATAATATTAATGTTATCCATATACCTCGAAATTGTAATTTGCTGTTTATATTCTTTAACTTAATCACATTTAATTGTATTTCTTGATAGTGAACATAGACAGAAAATTAACTTGTTGTAAACATATTACAACAAGTTAATTTTCTGTATACTTAAGGTCACAAACTTAATTGTTGAGTGGCAGTTGTTACTATCTGTACCCTGCCATGCTTTGCTGTGGCACATTATGGTTGCATTGTTGAGTAATGAAGAACAAAACTAGATCAAAACAATTTTTGAAGCCGATTGTAAAATCATTATGTCAAAATTTGAGCCCAATTGATGCCGAAATTTTTGATTCATTTAAGCATATTCAAACCAACTTAATATTTTCATATAAATAGATTACAATTATACACTCAAAAACTTAACCTCTCTGTGTAAAAATATCAAGCATAATACTGTAATTGTAATTGATAACAGAAACAACAATAAAAATACATACATTCATGTTTATTTATATCTCGCACTTGCAAGTAGGGACTATAACAGACACCGAGAAGTATTTTTGAGTGTCCAAGTATGACTTCCATGAATATATGTTTACCAGCATTTGTAGGGGTTGGTACAAAGCATATTGTATCATAAATTCATAATATAATTAAAAAGAACGAAGAATATCACTGAAAATAATTCTAGAATGATCATATTACATGTTAGAACATCGTAACAAAACTTATTTTATTTAGTAGAATTTTATTATTCTACATTGATTATATTTAATTGCATTTTTACATTGGTGATTCTTTAAGTTATACTTTTAACACACCTGTCCAATATCATTGTGTGCCACATACAGAATCAACAGATGATTTATTTTTTTGTTGAGTTGTCAATAATTCTTGAAACAATTTTTGTTCCTGTGTAGTTTGATTACTAAAATAATCAAATTTATAAAATGTATTAATAAGCAGTTTTACAAAAAGATTTAAACAATTAATAATGAAAGAAAAGAATTCTTCAGCTTTTTTGCTACAATTGCAGTAAGGTATTTCTGTAAATATTGCTATTTACATCCAACTTGTATAGGGGTAGTTGCAAAACGAAATAGTGATGTTTTAGAAACTACATTATGGCAGACCCTATTGTAACGTAGGGACAGGTCTAAAATAAATGTAATGTCTGATTTCTTTCAGAGACCCAACATATTTGAAAATTATTCAGAGGTTTGAAGAAAGGAAGCAGGCTCCATACTCTATCCATCAAGTTGCTTTGATGGGAGCCTCTGAAGGCAAAGGTGTAGGACAATGGTTTGGTCCAAACACTGTTGCACAAGTCTTAAAGTGAGTAACCCTTTAAAATTATATTTAATCACATTTAGTAAAATACATTTTACACAATCATAGTCTTATACACTTAACTAAAAATAGTTTTTAAATAAGGTACCCATCATGTTATGCAAATCTGCCACCACAACGGAAGTTTTCTGTATGTAGAGTACAGAAAACTACCGTTGTGGTGGCGGATTTACTGTAATATCTTTGCTCTATACATATTTATTAGAGTTGAGATAAATGTTAAACTTTAATACATAAGTCATCTATTTTGATACTTGTTGTTTTTTCAAAGTATCTATCTTTATTATTTCAGAAAATTAGTTGTTTATGATAAATGGAGTTCCCTGGCTATCCATGTTGCATTAGATAATACTGTTGTTAAGAAGGACATATGTAAGTATTGCTATAATCATAAGTAGTATGTTATGTGGTGTAAAACCATCACGCAATTTGCAAGTTCTGTCTATAGTGTTACTTATGTTACAATATTGTTATTATGCAGCCATAAATTGCCCTTGACAAAGGTTCTGGGCCTCAATTTTGCTATTTTATGTTTACGACAAGCCAGTGTCATACCACTGACACGCTATTGAGATGCCATCGAGTGGCCATTGGCATCGGTATAAATATCGGTAGTTAAAAATATATTACGTTTTTTGATGAAATGTTTTTTTTTATTTTTATTATAATAAATTATTAAAAGAAATAAATAAATAAAAGTAAATTATTTAAAAAAATAAAATTATAAAAAAGTAATAAATAAATTATTAAAATAAAAAATAAAAAAATTATTCAAATTAATAAATAATTTCCTTATTATTTGAAGATATATTACGTTTTTTGAGGAAATGATTTATTTATTTTTATTATAATAAATTATTAAAATAAATAAATACATTAAAATAAGTTATGAAAAATTAAAATATAAAAATTATAAAAAAAAGGAAATAAATAAATTGTTAATAATATTAAAATAAATATATTTTCAAATTATAAGGAAATGATTTGTTTATTTAAATTGTTTTTAATTTAAAATTAATAATTTAATTAATAATATTTTTTTTTATTTCATAATTTTTTTACTTCTCTTTTTTTATAATTTTTTTTTTTTATATAATTTACTATAATAAAAATAAAAAATCATTTCCTCAAAAAACGTAATATATTTTCAATATATAAGGAAATGACTTATTTATTTAAATATATGTTTTGTTTTAATAAATATTATTTCTTATTTATAATTTTTATATTTTATTAATTAATAATTTATTTTAATATATTTATTTCTTTTTTTTTTAATTTTTTTTAATAAGTTATTTTAATATTTATTTCTTTTAATAATTTATTTTAATTTTTTTTTTAATAAGTTATTTTAATTTATTTATTTCTTTTAATAATTTATTAAAAACAAATAAATCATTTCCTCAATAAACGTAATATATTTTCAACTACCGATATTTATACCGATGCCAATGGCCACTCGATGGCATCTCAATAGCGTGTCAGTGGTATGACACTGGCTTGGCGTAATAGCAGAATTGAGGCCCAGGTTATATGTGATATTGTATTGATAGACACTTTAACTTATGAAATGAATGTTTAAAGAAATAATTTTTATTGATGGCTAATCACTTGCCTGAAGCCACTTCTGCTTGGGACTGTAATCATTTTCAGATGGGATAGAGAAAGAAGACAAATTTAAGTGAGGCAAACGCATAGGGTAAGGGAGAAAAGCTTCAGCTGGATAATTATTTATTTTATTATATTAGATACAATTGGGCGGAATCAGTTGCTATAATAAATAGTTATGACCTGTATAACCAAGTATTTTACGATAGTTAAAATTGACATTGAGATTTATTTGTATGTCTTTATACTTAAATAGAAAGAGAACCTTTTTATATATAAAGAAACACTGTGCTTTACAGTATATCAATGTGTGGTGAACAATGACAGAGGTGATTCATCATCCACACCTGACATTGTGCCGACAGACTGGTTGCCCCTCTTGCTGATTGTGCCACTGCGGTTGGGACTTAGTGAAATTAATCCTGTATATATAAATGGATTAAAGGTACACATTGATTTTATAAGAAACTTTTTCGCGATCGTGGGACATTCAACACACAGAGAAATGTAACAATTTGTTACTGCTTTGCACCACAGAGCCACCAAAATGTCACAAATTTATTTAAATTAATTTTATTTAATGGGTACCAATTAATAACAGTTTTTGTACGTTCTTAGGTAGGATCCATCCATAAATTTCGTTATATAGTAAGTTGCGGGAATGGGGTGAAGTAAGTGTGTAAAGTGGCAGTGGACAGGAAAGTATCACAACACAAAACGTTAACTGTTGACAAAATATCGCTTTAATGTACGCTAGGTATAAATATACAATAAATAACTTCAACTAGGTTAAACAAGTATTGCATATGTATAATTAAATAAATACATGTGATTTATAAGTACTAAATACATATTTGACTTTGTAGAAAGTTAATAAATTATGGGACATTGATATCTCCCAGGTAATATTCTTTCACTTGGTGTTTGAAGAAAACAAGTGTTTGTGCACATCTAATTGAGACCGGTAGGGCGTTCCACAACCGAACTGCTTAGACAGAGAAAGGGACGTCGAGGAATTTAGTGGAATGTCCCGGCATTTTAGTTTCAGGTTCTCAGAAGATTTCAACAGTTTGTCATTTAAGAAGGTGAACCGTGATTTGAGGTAACGTGGAGTGAAAGGATTTAAAAGAATATTGTAGATAAGAGAAATAATATATTTGTATTCCGGCGAAGGCGAATGGGTAATCACTTGAGCTTTTTGCGATATTCAGAAACATGATCATATTTGCGAAGGCCAAATATGAATTTTATGCAGAGCTTTTGGAGTCTCAAGTTTATTCGATTGGTCTTCAGTAAGATCTAGATAGCTGGCATCTGCATAATCAAGGATCGGGAGAAGAAGTGATTGTGTAAGAGCAATCTTGGTTGGAATAGGTAGAAAGTTGCATAATCGGCGCAAAGACCCTGCAGCGGCAAACATTTTGCGACTCAGCTCCTGTAACTGAGGACTCCAGGATAAAGTACTATTAGTGTAAATCCTCAGGTTTTTGACCTTATCACTGGAAGGAATAGGTGTGCCATTACAATTGATTTGAGGCAGTGAGTGATTTGGAGATCATTTTTGAACTACAAACGACAATGACCTAAATCTTAGTTGGATTGATTTTCAGATCGTGGGAGTTGCTCCATCTACATATTTTATCTAGGTCAACGTTTATGGTGCTAACAGCTCCAGAAAAATTTAAAGGTGATGCCCTAGAATAGATCGGGAGTTCATCCGCGTATAGGTGGTAGGAAGAAGATAGATCATTAGTGATAGTGTTGATAAAAACAGAGAAAAGTAGGAGAGATAACACGTAGCCCTGTAGTACATCGGCTACTACTACTACTGCTAATGCGTAGTAGTAAAAAAGAGGTCGTTGCGAAACCAGTCAATCGCACTTGGAGATATGTTAAGAGAGCGTAATATACACAGCAGAACGTTAACGTCGACAGTGTTGAATGCATTACTGAAGTACAGCAGTGTTAGGACAGATCTGATATCCTCAGTAATATGGACTAAGTTAGTAGTGGTATTGTGACCGGGTCGAATACTGGACGGGGGACGTTTTAGGAGCAGATTTCTGGATAGGAAATTCGTCAATTCGGAATGAATAAGACGTTTAAGGACCTTGGAGAGAAAGGGAAGGACACAAATAGGGATCGGAAAAGTATGCGTGGTTTTTCGGTTTAGGGATGGGTATAACTTCAGCATGCTTCCAAGCCTTTGGAAATAAGCTATAGGGAATCGAACGGTTTAACATATGACAAAGAACAGGAAGGATTTCATCGAGGATTAGGAGGATCATATTACGGCTTAGACAATCGGAGCCCACTGCATTTGAAGTAATTGACATTATGCTCTTTCCAACATCACACTCTGCAAATTGACTAAAGAAGAGAGAAGAGCAGTCAAGACTAGGGGCAGAAGTAAGAGGTTTCAGTGTAGCATCTTGTGTCTTTTATTAGAATTTGACGTTGCAGAGAAATGTTGGTTATATAAATTTAAGTTTACATTTTTAGAAAATGATTCATTAACGGATTTGCTTACCTTAAAAAATTCCAGACTGGCTGGATCCCCGTTTTAAACGGTATGTTTTTTTGTGTTGTTGGCGAGTTAAAATTAATTTAAGAACCGTTGCTTGCATTTATTCAGTTTCAGGTATAAAAATGCAATACATGTGATGTCACACAAGGGAGAGACAGGCTCCCACGAATACAATCATCTGTGACAAGCAAATAAGGACGGAAAGTCGTCAATACACATTAAATTCATATGACGTAATTTTTGGATGACTCCTTATATATTGCTGACGTAGTTACGTACTTGAGTTAGATTGTGGCGCTTCCCAATATTTAAATTATTGTAATTTGGAGATCCTTACAACTATGTATTCGCAAAAACTTAGGTACACGATCAAATTACTTAGCTAATCTAATTTTAGAATTTACTTTATTTACTTATTAATCTTTTTGTAGTATTAAATCGGGGAACTCGTTTGCTGTGTGTTAAGTGACATTATATTTAATTACATTTATTACTGTAATACAGTAATAAGGATTATTACTTGCGTTAGTAGGGGCTACACTTCCAACAAATTTAATCTATCTTCCTAATCCTGGATTTTTACTTCTCCAGATATGTTTCCAATCACCTCAATCGATTGGCGTGATAGGTGGCAAACCTAACCAAGCTCTGTACCTGGTTGGATGTGTAGAAGATGAAGTTATATACTTGGATCCTCATACTACACAGAAATCTGGATTAGTAGAGGTAACGGATTTGTTTTTTTATCTGTAATAATCTGTTACGACTTCCCTACGGGGTCATAGTAGGGCTAAATGATGCGATTTCGTCGAGCAATTAATATGCATTCTCGATCTAGCGGGGCAATTTCAACAATTATGTTCAATCAAGACATAGTCCAGATACTTAATATTATTTCGACGTCCGAAGTATTATTAGTCAGCACGTTATGGTAGATATAGCAAGTGACCAAACAGGATACCCAGTGATATCTATAAGTTTGAATGCATGATTGTTATTATTATTCGTGTGCGTAATGACTTCCCCTCTTCGGTTAAATCACATCGTTCAATCGTTAGCCAGTTCAATTCTAAATAATACTTATTTAGCAGCGCTATAGTACCGATACTGCAACGCAGCGATGTTCTACTTGATTATAAAAAAAATACTGGTTACATCTCAATAAATATTATAATAAACTATAAAATTGCAACACACATCGAAACTTATATTTATACAAACTATATACAGAAACACGAAATACATTTTTTTGATATTTGTTATAATTTTATATTGACAAATCTGGCAAGAGCACATTAAAGTTCTTTTTATAATTGAAATGAACAATTATAGTTATCGAAGATGTATATAATCTTTCAATGACTTGCAGAATAAGATGACTGATGAACAAAAAGAAATGGACTGCTCATATCACTGTAAATATGCTTCTCGAATACCCATGTTGGCCATGGATCCTTCTGTTGCCGTTGTAAGTATAACAACCCTCTATTATCTCGAGGTCTTATTAAATTTTCTTGCTTATTGAACCAGGATTATTACCAAGATTTGGCTGTCACCACCTGAATGTTTTTTATATGACTGATTTAAAAGAAACATGTAAATAATAAGAAAATAAAACAAGTTTAGCCAAGGATATTTCCTAACTAAAACTGTAAATAGGTGCTTGCAATAAGCATGAACTCGTACTATAAACAGTTAATACTGTTTATATGAACCTTTTTTTTTAATTCTAACATGCTCTGTATGAAGTGCTCTGCATTCTTTGTGGGTGAGCAATTAATATTTTGAACTTCAACTGACAAATAAATCTATCTTTTTTTTTAAAAAAGCAAGTGGTATTTTCACTGGTGCAAAATAATGCTACACATTATTCACAATTCTTGAAAATATGTTTGTGTATTTTCATAAACTTTTGTAGCAAATATTGAGATAAATTGCTGACCTCACTGTAAAAATAATGTACTTTTCTTTATCTTTCAGTGTTTTTTGTGTCGAACAAAGAATGAGTTTGAAGAATTGTGCAATGTTATAGAATCTAAATTAATGCGTGAGTCCCAACCATTATTCGAAATTTGCGACAAGCGTCCCACGCACTGGGGCCCCAGTACCGCCGACATTGATCTGCAGAATACATCGTTGTTCACAGGTGAATAAATATTTTACTATTCTTTCATACCCCGGATGTAGATTTTATTAATGGTTTTAATTAACTAAGAACTTTAGAATTTACTGCAGATTTTTTTTTTGTACCACACATTGATTGATTGGAAATAGGATATTTATTATTTTTTATAACATACCTATGTATATTTTATTTTACAGAATTTGAAGACGTAGACCGACAGTTTGACGACTCAGACGACGAGTTTGAAATTCTGTGAATGCCACACATAGAGATATAAGCATAGAAAGAACACGGGGTACAGCTGCCTGTAAGTGAAAGCGATACAGGCAACGAAAGAGATGGATGCCCGATAGTTTCTTACCGTTTCCTTTCCTTGCCTGATAGTTTGGCTACTTATTACTCTCTTATATACCCCAGCCAACCACAGAGCTGTACTAAAAAGAGATAGAGGCATTTATCTATTATCCATCTCTCTCGTTGCCTATATTGCAAGATTGGGGCTCTTGTTCACTCTATGCTTATATTTTATGATGCCACAACACTGAATTGTGAAGATATCACACAAGCATAATGTAGATAGAATTTAATATTTGGAAAACTAGAGTAAAGACGATACTAGTACTTATGTATAGTAACATCACTCGTAAAATCGTTAAGGTTGACTATGCTTTATTTGAAACTACAAACTACTATTGTTCTTTAGATATTATTTGATAGTGCATGCAGGCGAAAGTTTACACTGTGAGAGCAATGTTCGCCTGCAGTTGTACTTATATTTAGTATTAGTATTGTCGCGATGAAAGGGCATTGCGTAAGTGAGCCAAACGCAAACAAACTTGTACCGATAGATCATTGCCTATTGCCTTGATATTCAGTACTTTAGTTATTTATCTTATTCTACTTGTTTTATTCTAGTTGCCACTTGTTTATGCATAAAAAGGCTACATTGTTTTTTCTATTATCTTAGTTTCAATTAAAGTATAAGGACATAACGAAAACATTAAACTATTTTAAATATTGAGGTGGGTGAATCTATTACCTAAAATATTTCGAATAATGTATTCTCCTAAGTGATGGTTATTTAACAAAAGATTTGTAGCAGCGCAAACCGCCATCTTACGAAATAAACTAAGCAGCTACATTATTTGCAGTGCCTTTACTATTTTATTGTGCAATTTATGTAAATAGAAGTGAACGGTTTACACTGATTAACATTCCTATGAAAAACATATGTGATAATCAGTGCATCTTATAGGCAACTCGACGGGAGTGCAGGTATCATCTAGTCATAATTTAGATAGACATGAAATAAATACTTGATAATAAACAGATATGATAATTGGATAGTGATTAATTTCGTAACGTAAAAAAGTAAACTATAGCAATATACATGTATTCGTATAGGCCTAGCAACGGCGATGGTTATAAGAAGACGACTGCGTGGTTGGTTGCCATGAGTGCCTTACGAGTGTTCACTGCATTGGGCAATGAACCAGGTAGTCTATTCAGGTCGTCATACGCCGTCGACAACCTGTAACTTATTTCTCTCTGTGAAATTCATTGAAAACGATGTCTTTTTGGTTTGAATTACATTCTGTCATCATATTTCTTCTCTTTTATTGCTTCCTTTTTTAACTACATTTCGATAAGTATCTATAAACTTATATTTTTTTTATTTTCTCATGACATCTATTAGACGTTAGTACAAATATCATTATTGGCGTTAAAGTGGGGTCCCACAAATATATGTCTGTCAGCTAGTAACATTACACCATGATGTCGCACCACGCTACATTTTATGTCCTAATTTTAAAGTCCAATGTTTTACATTAATTGCATAATAGCTAATTGCTAGTAGACGATTTTAGTTGTATTTTGGAGCCAAGTATATGCCAATAGGTGTTATTAAGTATGCTCTAGTATATTTTTAATAATAAAGATACATTGTGAATGTGTACCTAAATATTTTAATGATCTTTAAAGTAATGTGTTAAAATAACAATTTGTGTTGTATCGTAGAGTAAACGATTTTGTTACGAAAATAGCATGCTGGATAAAAAAATCTATCCAAATATTTTTATATAATTAAAGTTTTAAATACTAAAGTACTTGTTTTACTTTTTTTCACATGTAGTTTAGACGAATGTGAAAATATTCATCCAAGCAAGTCCAAAGATGCATCAACAAGTTGTTCGTTTCTTTCCCTTAAATATATTTCTAACACCGCTGGTTCAGTTACACTTTAATAAACGTCTGCACGGTATATTATCTATTTATTTTTTATGAAATAATAACTGTCAGAGAGCTATTCTAACCGCGGGAAAGCTGTGCTACCCGTGGGAGAGCCGTGCTCCCCGTGGGGGAGACCTGCTTACCGTGGAAGAGCCATGCTGAACCGTGGGAGAGTCATGATAACAATGAGAGAGCCATGCTAAACTGTGGGAGAGTCGTGCTAACCGTGGGAGAGCCGTGCTAAACGCGGGAGATCCGTGCTAATCGTGGTAGAGTCCTGTTAACCATGGGAGAGTCATGCTACCGTGGGAGAGTTAGCAGAATCATGGGGGAGCCGTGGTAACCGGGGGAGAGCCATGCTACCCTGGGAGAGTCGCGCTAATCGTGGGAAAGTCGTATTAAATGTGGGAGAGCCGTAACAACCATGGGAGAGTATCGCTAACCGTGGGCGAGCATTGCTAATCGTAGGAGAGCCATGCTATCCTGGGAGGGTTGTGCTAATCGTGGGAGAGTCGTGCTAACCGTGGGTGAGCCGTGCTAACTATGGGGAAGCCGTGTTAAATGGGGGAGAACCGTAAAAACCATGGGAGAGCCGTGCTAACCTTGGGGGACCATTGCTAACCGTTGGAGAGCAATGATAACCATGAGAAAGCCGTGATAACGGTGGGGGACTATTGCTAACCGTGGGAGAGACATGATAACCGTAAAAGAGCTGTGCTAACCGTGAGAAAGCCATGCTTACCTGGGGAGAGTCGTGCTACCCTTGGAGAGTCTTGCTCACCATGGGAGAGTCCTGCTAATCGTGGGAGAGTCCTGCTACTCGTGGGAAAGTTCTGTTAACCGTGGGAGAGTCCTGCTAACTGTGGGAGAACCATGCTACCCGTGAGAGCTGTGTTAACCGTGGAGGAAAAACTGTGCTAACCGATGGGCATCCAATTCTAACCGGGGGAGATCCGTGCTAACCGTGGGAGGTAATTGTGCTAAACGGGGAAGAGCCGTGCTAACCGGGGACGTTATTGCTAACCGTGGGAAAACTGTGCTAACCGATGGGAAACCGATGCTAACCGTGGGAAAACTGTGCTAACCGATGAGAAGCCCTTCTAACCGTGGGAGAAACATGCTAAATGCTTACCGTGGAAGAGCAATGCTGACCGTGAGAGAGCCATGCCACGGTACTATTATAATGCAGTACTCCAGCTTCATACAAACGGACGAAACGCGAGCTATACCTACGCGCCTCGATCTCGGGGTGCGCTCGGGGCGCAGACAGTCACGGCTGTACCGCAGTGTCGAACGGACTGTGTGTTGTTTTTTTAACAATAACCGCGCGATTTTTTCTCTAAAAATCAGTTAATATGACGAGTAGGAAATATTGTGCTGTTTTTGGTTGTATGAATTCGTCAATAACGCATCCAGACATAAGTTTTTTTAAATTACCTGGAAACTCTGAAAGGTAAGACTATAAAATAATGTTACTTACTAGTAGGTAGGTACATAATGTGTGTCTTTTTAATGGATAAGTATTTCCTTTTATCTCACGAAAAAAAAGGTGTTTGGATTAATAAATAAAGCAAATAGAGTAACGGAAAGTTATTGAGACGAGTGAAATAGGTAGTGTATCAAAATGTATAGGGAGTGAATCAAAAAACAACATGCATTTTTATTGAACACTTCCTATTCAATATACAAAGTATTTCATTTGTTTATATAAAAAGGATAATTACAATCACAAATCTAAATAGAAATAGAAAGTATAATTAAAATGCTGGAGACGGCAGCCCTAACGCATGTTTACGTACCGCGCGGCTGTAGGCATTTATTTCTATCATGCGGCCGAGTTACACTACTGTATTATAATTGTACCGTGGCCATGCTTACCTTGGGAGAGCCGTGCTAACCGTGGGAGAGACATGATAACCGTGGGAGAGGCATGTGAACCGTGGGAGAGTCCTGCTAACCGTTAGAGAGTTAGCAAAACCGTGGAAGAGCCGTGTTAAACGTGGGAGAGTATTGATAACCGTGCTACCCTGGGAGAGACGTGCTAACCGTGGGAGAGTCCTGCTAACCGTAGGAGAGTCCTGCTAACCGTGGGAGATTTCTGCTACTCGTGGGAGAGTCCTGCTAACCGTGGGAGATTCCTGCTAACCGTGGGAGAACCATGCTACCCGTGAGAGCTGTGTTAACTGTGAGAGGAAAAACTGTGCTAACCGATAGGAATCCGATTCTAACCGTGGGAGAGCATTGCTAACCGTGGGAGAGACATGATAACCGTGGGAGAACCGTAATAACCATGGGAGAGTATTGCCAACCGTGGGAAAACTGTGCTAACGCTACCCTGGGAGAGTCTTGCTCACCGTGGGAGAGTCCTGCTAACCGTGAGAGAGTCCTGCTAACCGTGGGATAGGCCTACTATTCGTGGGAGAATCCTATTAACCGTGGGAGAGTCCTGCTAACCGTGGGAGAACCATGCTACCCGTGAGAACTGTGTTAACCGTGAGAGGAAAAACGGTGCTAACCGATGGGAATCCAATTCTAACCGGGGGAGATCCGTGCTAACCGCCGGAGAGCATTGCTAACCGTGGGAGAGTCCTGCTACTTGTGGGAGAACCGTAATAGCCATGGGAGAGTATTGCCAACCGGGGCAGAGCTGTGCTAACCGGGGAGAGCCCTGCTAACCGGGGAAAGCCGTGCTATCCGTGGGGGAGCCGTGTTAAATGTAGGAGAACATTAATAACATGGGAGAGCCGTGCTAACCTTGGGAGACCATTGCTAACCGTGGGAGAGCATTGCTAACCATATGAGAGCAATTCTAACCGTTGGAGAGACATGATAACCGTGGACGAGCCGTGTTAACCATGGGACGTTATTACTAACCGTGGGAAAATTGTGCTAACCGATGGGAAACCGATGCTAACCGTGGGAAAACTGTGCTAGACGATGGGAAACCCTTCTAACCGTGGGAGAAACATGCTAAATGCTTACCGTGGAAGAGCGATGCTGACCGTGAGAGAGAGAGTCATACTTACCTTGGGAGAGTCGTGCTACCCTTGGAGAGTCTTGCTCACCGTGGGAGAGTCCTGCTAACCGTGGGAGATTTCTGCTACTCGTGGGAGAGTCCTGCTAACCGTGGGAGAACCATGCTACCCGTGAGAGCTGTGTTAACTGTGACAGAAAAAACTGTGCTAACCGATGGGAATCCGATTCTAACCGGGGGAGAGCCGTACTAACCGTGGGAGAGCATTGCTAACCGTGGGAGAGATATGATAACTGTGGGCGAACCGTAATAACCATGGGAGAGTATTGCCAACCGTGGGAAAACTGTGCTAACCGATGGGTAACCCTTCTAACCGTGGGAGAAACATGCTAAATGCTTAAATTTACAAGAAGGGCATCAATAAACTGCCAATGCGTTGGCAAAGATGCGTCGATTGCATGGGTGTTTACTTCGAATAACAGAAATAAAAAAGTTTGAAAAAATATGTATTTTCACTTATTGCACACAAAACGGCAATTTCATAGGTAACCTAATATTTGTAGATCATACAAACATTTGGTCCGACTCGGGCATTGAACCCGAGACCTCAGCATAGCAGTCTCATGCGTTACCACTGCGCCACCGAGGCAGTCCAGTCGTAGATCTAGGCCTGATGCTTGGGATTAATTTAGCACAGGCTATTTCGTAGTAGAAATTTGGTGTGAGCTAGTGTCTTTTATTTAATTTTCCATTTTTTATGTTTTACTTCACTTCTTCACTTTTTTTTTATTCCATCTTTATTCTATATGTTGTTTTCTCTTTATTGCCTTTTTACCTTTTAGTCCTGAAAACTTACTAGCACACATCAAAACAATGTTGTGTATGTTTAATGATGCCATTGTTTGTATCTGTTAATTAAAAAAATAGTGGCCGTGAGTTTATTTGCCCTTTCTTCTCATGAGGCTCAAGACCCTTTGAAATGGGCGGTTGTAGATCTTCACAGGCATATAAGAGATTTTCGATACGTATATTTTTAGTTTGCTAAATATTTAACAAAACAGAGATTGTTGCTATTGTGTGTTGATCTATGACTAAGAGTCTACAAAAGAGATGATTTCAAATATTTATTTTTTTATGAAAAAAACACATTTCGAGCTTGATAGACGTGTCATATAAATGTGATTAAAAAAAAAAGGATTGGAAAGACCCACTTTTCTATTTTAAGCTGTTCAAATAAAGATGATCTATATGGTCCCTATACGCTACGTAAGTATTCCGCAGTTTTTAATTATGTGCGATAATTCAAAAAATTCATAATTGTTCTTTTTATAAGACAACTCCCGCATTAGGAATATACCTTGTTTAGCGAGGGAGTTTGCAAACATGAAATGGACACAAATAACACCCAGGCTTAAAACAACAATTTATGGATCACGCAGTGTCGTCCCATGTGGGGACACAACACTCAGCGCAGTAGGAAACGGTATGGCGACCGCTTAAACCACTACGCCATTCGAGCAGTCAAATGTCCCGTTACCGATTACGGGCATCAAGAGTAGGACAAGTGCCCCACTGTAGCTACGGGCTAGAGATTGGCTATTATGAAATAGTACATGGCCCACTATACCAAGCTGGCCAGACAGGTTGGTATAGGGTTTGTCAAGTTTTTCTTCTTTTTGCAGTGCAACACCCCCGGGATGAATAAGGGTGGTGACAATTGAGATTTTGATTTATATTGATTATTGAATATAGACAAAATGTATGGTCACACATTTTCTTAGAATAAAACAATTTGTTTTACAATACGATTTATTTAAGTATTACATATATTGTTATACTTTGGTAGGTAGTTGAGGCAAGCGACATCACAACAGTACACAACATGTAAACTAAACAACTGATGAGATTTACACATTACAGTTTCTACACAAAAATACTACGGTTTGTTAAATAAACTCCCTACAAAAGTATAGGTAACACAGATTTTAGTTATTACATACCAAGTAGATAGTGGCAATTAAATATTTTTATATAAATTTCATTATGCAATATTTATTACAGAAAACCTGACTGAATAGAAACATTTTACAAAATTTTGGCACGTTACGTAATAAATTAGCACTGTCCACGACGTGACCCGTGTCCATAACATTGTGGGCATATCAATTAGTTCAAATATTAGAAGGTAGTTTTATTTGGCCCCAACAACGTAAAGATATAAGACAGTCATAATACGCCTTAGGCCGATGAATATACTTTGAAACAGTGTTTTGTACTTAATTTGATTAGTTACTGAATCTGGATACTGATTGTAGATATTTTTACAAAAATATTTTGTGAAGGCTAATCTGTTAATAACGAAAGTCATTGAAGTGTGTTTACTATCGTGTCATCATGCTGATGATGATATACATTTATGTAGATTATTATGAATTTTGAAAACAAATATTATATGTATATACAAAACTAATATGACTAGCACCACAGGCGATAATAAAGAACCAACGTCTACTTTATAGCACAATTAAGACTAATACTCAAAATTCAAATGCAATAATAAATACACCATGATAGGTATCCTCCTGAGTTATTGGTCTTTGAATAGACTTTAAGGGAGGTTTCAAAATAGGCTACAAAAACCTTGAAACTTCTGCCGCTTCTTTATTTAAAAAACAGATCACCCCTAAAGTTAGCTAAATAAGGTATTTCGTATACAATATAAGATTAGATTAGTGGGTATTTTTCAATATTGTTAAGGTCAGGTATTAAAAGTACTTGAAGATATTCATTTAAACTTAATATAATACACTACCATTATGAAATAAAAATATTTTTGTAAACATTCCATAGCCTTTGGATGAAATGTGATGTCGAGATTAGGTGAAACATCAAAACAGTTATATAATATTCACAGTTATATCATAGTACACCAGATGTCAAAACTACATGAAGAATAAATAACAAAACTACTCTTATAGACCAAACAGTTTTAATTGTATTCACATCACAACCATCCATAAATTCAAAACTTTAAATTTTCAAAAATATGATGTTATACATGTTAGTTAACATTCAAAAATATAAATGGCTCTTGTTTAAGTAATATATCATCTACTGGACGTAACTATTTATATAAATCTCATTATCTTAACAGTAACAGCAATGTGATAAGTGATAGTTTCCATTTCACACAGATAACTGCACCTACATGAATTCACTTTACCATAGAAGGTGGAATATTTGAAATTGTATGTACCACCATCATAAAAAGTCAAACGAGACATGCATTTTTTTTAAATTATGTGACTTCTATTGACTATATTAGGTAAGAAACAAGACTTAATGACAATAGTATACTACAGAATTTGTATACAATAAAATATTAGAACACTATACTAACCCGTTAATTGCTCAGATCACTGAGTGTGAAAAATAAATAGCAAAAATTTGGATGAAAAACCTTCACAACAAAGATGTTTCTTGTGGAGCATTGGGTTAATTTTAGGAGCAAGTTAAGGCAATTCAATTGAATAATAAATGTAGTCCTTTGTGTCTGAGTGAAGTAATGGTAAGAAATGAAAGTCTATGTGTTGTCTTGATGTATAGATATAAATAAAACATACTTAAGAGCGCTAAGAACACCATTAAAATTTCTTATTTATTTTGAAACTGTTTTAAGAACCAAAGCATGCAGTAAAAGATGGATGGGTCAAATTTTCAAAATCTGCAATAAGCATTTGAACTTCCAGTAATTGCTTCCATTTCTTAGGTATAACCTACAAGACCTTTCTAAGTATTAACAAATCATTTATATGTATAATTATTATTATATTACACTGCAAAACCTTTGGCCTTTTATTTGGATATTGAATATAAATGTCATTAATAAAATGTAAGAAGTGATCAAGTAATTATGCAGAAGATAATTAAAAGTATTATGACACGCTTTAAATAAGCATTATGCCAACTGCAGGCCAGGCTTATGGAATTATAAGGGTTAAAACAAATACATGCTTAGCACCACACTATATACAACTGTGTGTATGTCTCTTGAATTACAGATTATACTTAGTCATGTTGGTTTTACACTACACAGGTACCACTACTATTTATGATGGAGTTAGTAAAAACTCTACGACACACTTCTCAAATCCAATTTAAAAACTGTTTGCATAGTAAAGTTTTACTGTGAGACAGATATAACATTATTTAAAAAATTAATTACTAACACTGTTATATTATCCACCGAGCCTCTGTAATATGCTTGTAATGTTAAACTTTTGGCTCCAAAGTCAGGTTCATCTAATCTTTCTTTAATGAACTTGACTGCTTCTTCATTAGAAAAAGTGTCCCACAAACCGTCAGAGGCGAGAACTAGAAACATGGGTTTGTGGTCATCAATGTTAAAAGTTAAAATATCTGGATCTGCAATAACAAACTTCTTGTCTTTTAGAGGATAATCTCCCATGGCACGTGAAGTTGCTAATATACCTGCTACCCTCCAAACTCCATTAAAAGCAATGTAACCACCCGCAGCCTCTATTCTTTTTTGTTCTCGAACCTGTAAGTACAAATAATTAATGTGACTGACAGACTGCACGGAAAGCGTAGTGGTTTAAGCGGGCGCCACGCCGCTTCCTATTACGTCGAGTGTTGTGGGTTCAAACCCCACATGGGACAACACTTTGTGTGATCCACAAATTGTTGTTCTAAATCTGGGTGTACTTTGTGTTCGTTTCATGTATGTTTGTAAAGTCCCCCACTACACAAGATTTATTCCTAGTGCAGTTGTTTTTATAAAAATAAAAAGAAATATATAAGTATGAGACAGAACTATAACATCCAAAACATTGAAAGGGACATCCAGTAACTATCTGGTAGCCAGCTAACTTTCAAGCCAGATATTAAATGGCATTTAGGTAATTTACTGAAGTGACTAAGCAACTGGTTATATTTACATTTTAAACAATATTAATAGTACTTATACTGCACTACATGTAAATTACAATAAATAATACTTATTCCTATAAATCTAAGATGGATCTAGGAAGAATCTAAAATAAGTATCACAATTATACAAATAAGATTTTTTTTCTGACAGTTCTTGATTGCCAGACTAATTACTATTGATTTTTTTGCTACAATATTAAAGAAATTGAACTGAAATATATTCTGTTATGTATCCTGATCTCTATTTTTATTTTGATGTGCTGAACATGAACTTGACTTTTATAATAGACTCAAATTATCTGTTGTGTATTTCTCAGTTTATTACTTTTCTATCTTTTTATGAACCTATGCAACCTAAGCATGTGTTGTGTTTTCAAGCCTTATGTCAGAACATAAGGCTTCAATACACAACACATGCTGTCCATAAAATTAAAATAAGTAAATCAATAACTGTGGCAGTTTCAGTATTTCTTAAACCTATGTATTTTTAAGTAACAAAATGTAGCATTGCAACTAAGAATTTCTGATAATCCCATAAAAAACATTATTTATACTTATTTGATTGCTGCCTCGTTTTAAAATATTTTTTGATACCTTCTTTCATTATTAAATCATCTAAAACATTTTATAACAAATGGTTGTTCATATGGTTAAAATTTTTATGGAGTATAGCAGTTATCTTACCTGCTGTGGTTTGTGGTCAAAAGATACTGGTATAGCATTGCCACGTGAATCACACATTACCCCTCTTGAGTCTCCAACATTGGCTACTATCAAGTAATTGTCTTGCATTATAGCAATCAGAGCAGTTGTGCCAGCAACGTTTAAAGATCGCTTTGCTGCTTCCACGAGAAGCCTGTCTGCAGCAAGCACTTCATCAGTCAATAGCTTGCCGAAGTTTATTTTTCCTTTATCTATATAACTAGATAGTGGTATAGCAACATTTTTTATAGGTGTTGAAGTTGGTCGAACCTCCCTTGTGATAGGTCGTGCTTTGGACAGTTGTGCTAAAAGCTGAGGGTCAGTTATTTCTTTTTTCGATGTGTCATCAGCTGTGCTTACAGATTTTTTAAAGCTACTTTTCCTTTCCACAGGGATATGGTTTTCTTCTTTTTTTGCCTCTTCAGGACTATCTCTAATTAGGGTACTTATTATTTTTCCATCTTTGAATGCCTGTAATTCCACTATTTTATTGTACAGGTTTTGAATGAGATGTTCTTTTGCGTAGTTGGCGGCAAATTCTCCTCCGTGACCATCAAATATAGCAAACAGTGAGATCCCCGAGTTGTTTATGTTCTCATTAATAATGAACCTGTCTTCCATATGCATTCTTCTCCCTTTGATAGCATAAGCAGCACTTTGTGTACCTTTCAACTCCCAACTTTGTTTATCAGCATCTGAACCTTCTAAAATCTTCATTCGTTGAACTGCGCTGATTGGGCTCAAAGCCTGAGATAATCTGCTTAACATTGTGCGGCTCCATATCTCGATAGTTTGCAAATACATGAAAAATATAATTATTGCTAACGAGAACACTACAACTTCGGATCGTAGTAAATAAAACCGGACCATTTTCCATAAATAGCTCACAGGAGTATCAAACGGAACACTATTTGTAAAGCGTGACAAGATTTTCATAAATGAAAGATATGTTTGGTATAGCACTCTGTCTTCTAATTCGTCTTCCATGTCCCTCTCTATAAAATTGCAATGTTAGCGATATAAAACTTTTTTTTTTTCTATATAAAACACTCAAAAGAGCACTCGATTTAGTACGTTTTGCTTTGCTCTAAGTCTACATTTAAAATATATACAAACGTAATAAACGTATGTGCCTTCATGTAGATGGTATAGACTATAGTCCAGTGCATCATAAACTAAAATATATTTACTGAAATAGACTGGCAACTTATGATTTTGGCTCAGCGCCTCTACATGCGAAGCACGATAACGTTAGTTCCAAATTTCGCGTACAGAGGTGCTGACTATAAGTGTGGAAAATAATGAAAAAGTTCGTCACCCCACCGGCGGTTGGTATCCGTGGAGATTGCCGCACAGGAAAAAAAAGGTATGTCAGGATAAATGGTACGAACATGTAATTTAATTTTGTTTCAAAATTATTAAACCTTGTTGACAATTAGATCAAAAATATTTTTTTCTTATGAAGAAAAAATAAATTTAAACAAACCTTTATAAAAGTCAAAATAACTTTGTGATTCATTTTATAGTTATAAAATAAAAATCACAAATTTATGCATCGGGAAACATAATGCCTAAGGCATTTTCTGTCAGTCGACCGATTGGGCGATGCAGAGAAAGGATTAGGTAGGTCCACTTATTGGGGGGTAATAAATGATTGAGTTTTTTTTAAATACCAACTATATTGACCTTTGAGTAGACAAATGTACGCAGTTGTATATACAGAGTCGTTGAAACTGCCAATTCACTCGGTAAAGGTTTCTACACTTTCGTCTTAAAGAAATATCGATTTGTAGCTATCCCGACTTCGAGAGGAAGCGCATTCTGCAAGAGGACTGAATAAATAAAGAACGAAGAGAGGGCGCGCAATTATCTGCGTTGAGGAACAGGTAACCATCTTAGCTGTGAACGAAAACTTACTAAAAAAAAATTAAGATAAAAGGTAAATTGAATTGAGTTGTTGATAAGAGATCTAACTTGTTGAGAAGATCTGCATTCTGGTCATAATAGCACACGCCGCCATGGTCGATCGAAGGGAAGATGAGAGATAGCACGATTACTGTCTTAGTATTCAAGGGAAGAAAGTTATTTCAGGCGATAAAATGTTCTGAGAATGTATTTAACCCTCTTTCATACCTATGTAATTTTCTTCCATTACAAAATGCTTTAACACACTTTGTCGAATCTAGATCCCCAGAGTTCTATCGTAAAGGCATAAATGTACTTCCGTTTAGATGGCAGCAATGTATAAAATAATGAGGATAAATATTTTGACAACGAATATATTACATTTTAGCGAAGAACGAGTTTCAATTCTTCAGTTCAAATCGGCAATTTCAATATTTAACTCCTTATATTTATAAGTTATATAAACGTTTCTGTAGAAGTAGGTATAGTAAAATAGAAAGATACTATTTTTAATGTATATTTATTTTTTTGTTTAGTGCTTCTAACAAAAGAAAATTTTGTTTGTCGTAGACGACGTGAGTGTTGTCAGGACGTACTACTAAAAACAAAAAAAGGCTATGGTTTCATAATCTGATTTGTCTTGTCATTACGGTCATATATTCTACGTCATACCTATTTCTCTGTCTTCGTACAATATAGCTTGATACGGATGACAGATGTCACTACTTGGAGAGACTTGTGATATGACATAACTGGCCAATCGATTAATTTATGGACTGATTTTATTGATATTGAGTATATTTTGTTTAATTTAGTACCTATATAATAAAATTGTCCGTGTAGTGACGGATTAAGAATACGGAATGTCACTACCCCAATTCGTCCCGTGGGTGTCGTAAGAGCCGACTAAGGGCGCAAAACAACGCAGGACACCATTGCAAAAAGAAGGAAAACTTGAAACAAACCCTATACCAACCCGTCTGGCCAGCGTGGTATAGTAGGCCAAAACCTCCTTTCTAAGGAGAGGCCTATGTCTAGCAGTGGACTATTAAAAGCTGTTGATGATGATATAATAAAATAACAAATAAGTGTTTTAAATTTATTTTCTAAAAAATGTCAACCTAACTCATCTTCTTCATCTTCGCTGGAACAATCCTATAGATTAATTTTTAAAAGTTCTTGATCACAAACTAAATCGAACTTGTGTGCTCGTCGTATTTAATTACGAGAAAACTAATCAAGAGCCACTGCTCTTGATTCGTTTTCTCGTAATGCCACTTAATGCCATCCATGCCAGTAATGCCATCGATATTGTCACTTGTCACTACAAGTGACAATATCGATGAGCGAATCACTGGCCGACGAAATGATTTAATTGCCCCTAGTCCTACTTCATTCCACCAAAGGGGCCCAAAAGTCGACATCTGCACAGGGGAAGGTCAAGGTCACTGCCGGTACATTATATCAGTAATAATTTACGGACTAAAGAATAATTTGTTTATCTGAGATAGAGATGTTAACTTTTAATAAAAGTAATAATGAGCCTTCATTATAAGTACATTGTATTCGAAATGTCAGTTTAAAAATTGGAAAGTAACTCAAAAAGGGTTTTCGAACACCTGTTTTTTGAGAATATCTCGTTTTCTTTGAATTGCATTTACATTTTTCATTAAAGTTGTAAAAGATTAAATTCTCTGCAAATGCCACATGCAAACCAATTTTTATATACGTTGAAAGAGAGGGCTCAAAATATGAGGCGCTCAGTTATACTTACGTACCTTAATGCAGGGTCAATTGTGAATCCCAGTGTATTAAATACGGTTTTTCAAGTTAATAATTAATACTACTTAAATGACCTATTTCTTATTGCGGGTGCCGGGTCCATCGAGTGATAGATGGGGGCAACACATACGACTTCGACAGCGCTTGGAACTTGCGACCCAGGTATAGGTTTAGAGAGTCCTCCTTGCGACGCGTCAGCGCTCACCTCCACTATCTGCTTTGTTACCCCCTCTACCTAACCATATTCGATACGAGCCTAGCAAGGCTGCTTTGGATATTCGTTCTAGAAAAGAGCTTACTGAAGCTCTTGGCAATCCAAGGTCTTTAAGCAGGTTATAAAGAGATTTAGCTGGTATACCCGTCGCACCCACTTCCACGGCATACAACGCAACGACATAACCATTTTTAGTTATTTTTAGGTTAAAGTACTTGTTTCTTTATAAACCGTGGTCTTTAGGGATGTTCGTTTCCCACGGCACCGAGAGTTGTAGAACGATACAAAGTAAAACAGAACGTTCACGAACAGTAAAACAGTGGTTCGCCCTTTCTGAATTTATAAGCTAAGCATAAAAATCACTTTCGTGACATCTGTTTGACCTTTTGATAGGCCACGACTCCCACTTTCTTCTACGAAATATTTATATGGGGTATTAGGTTCGGTCGCGTGATTTTTCTTACTTCGAAAATGGTAAACTTCAACACACACAATTATTTGTCCTGGGTGGGAATCGAACCCACAACCTCTGGCTTAGCCGACGGGATCACTAACCTCTAGACTCTAGACCAACAGGCCCGTCATGATGATGGTTTAGAACAGAGTGAAAAACATAGCACGGAAGCCTAAAACAAATCAGTACCATAATAATATGTGTAAGAAGTAATAATAGTGACTCAACTCCTTTGATAGACCGCTAAATACCTACAACTGTCTCGACTAAAAATGTGCAAGGGTTGTAGGTAGCTAGGTAAAAAAAGTACTTAAAACTATATTCGTCAAAATTAAGGTCAAAAATAAACATAATATATTTATATTTTATTTCGTATCTTTCGTTGCTTGATTTCAGTTGGTGAAAATATGTGGAAGAGTTGGTAAAATTGAATTCTTGCAACGATGTGATTGCTCCAGCATTCCATCACTATATAAATAATATTAATAAATATGTTTTAATTATGTAATTAATATCTAATAAAAAAGTGATATGAGTATATATATATATACGTGATACTCCTGAAAGGGCGTACCGGTTAGCAAGCGAAGCCGGTCGGTACTACTGCAGACGTCGGGGGCAGGAGGGGGACTCCGCTCTCCTTCATACCTCGCCCTAGCGTTGCTCCTCTACGTAGCCGAGTTGACTCACTATATAATAATATATCTCACACACTCACACACGGCCGTCTGATCCCGAACTAGGCAGAGCCTGTACTATGGTAACCAGACCGCTGATAAGCATACTTATATATTTCTGAATCCATACATATTATAGATAAATTACACCCAGACACAGAAGAAATGACCGTGCTCATCACACAACATTTGTCCTGGGTGGGAATCGAACCCACGACCTCCGGTTTAGCAGTCAGGGTTACTAATAACTAGACTAACAGGCCCAAATATTGGTGTTTATTACACATATGTCAGTACCTAGACTTAGACGGCGGATTTAACACCAACCAATAATAATTCTAGGTGGATACATTACATATAGAAGTAAAATAAAAATTAAATACTTATTGATTTTTATAAAATGTATTAAAACATGAAATTTAGATTACACTTCTGCAAGGATCAAGAATATGTCTAGCTACAAACGAATGAGTTTATAACAATTAGTGTGTACATTAAATTATATTACATACCCACAACACAGCCAAATAAAAGATCAAACAAATGATTTTATACTATTGCCAATATTTAAGGAATAATTATGGAATGATGCATTAAGGACGAATTTGCAGATTTTTATTTGTAAGTAATATGTTCCGCCAACAAGCTTAACAATGAACCATAAACGTTGCGTTTACAATAATTGAAACGTCTTAGATTGATTCAATATAGAAAAGATCAATGGAATCACCAATGCTGCAAAACCTTTCTTATTTAAGAGCCAATCCATATAAATTAATTATAACTTTGTCCACAAACATAGGTTCCAATAACAGTTTTTAAAACTTACATAATTAAACTATCAAATTCTGCAAACGCATCCCTAATGATATTTTGATTACGATTTAACATGTTGACTGTTTTTAATTTAGATAGATAAATTTAAACTTCAAAAAAATACATTTGAAAATACATACATACAAATTTAAAAAAATACATTTTTAAGTAGATATTTCATATTATTATGTAAAAACTTTTGTGTTTAGCATTTCTCATGAGTAGGACTTGCAAATAATCTTGTTTGAAATCTGATTACGTTGTATTCAAATATGAACCAATATTATTCGAATATGTGCAAGCAAATTTAAAATAAAAGAACATTTTGAGAAAATAAGTATGACTTATATAATTCGAATGAGTATGAGAATTGTTTATGATATAATAAATAGCATAAAGGTACTTATAAGAACTCCATTAAACACTGTACCTATCTTAAAACCAAACTTTACTGATAAGTAGTGGAATGAAAACATTATTAGCTTTATTAGCATTATTAGCTATTTTTCCTGGACTCGAAAAGTTTTGAGTGATTCTTGACATAAGCGACATTTAGTGGTTTTGACTGAAAACCACTACATGTCGCTTATGTTAAGAATTTTATTTAATGCACAACTAGAAAATAAATTATCAACTTAAATTAAAAATGACAATAAGTGTTAAAAAATACAAAAGATTACTACCCAAAGGCCCATAAAAAGGAATTTTACTGCTATTTAAATGATTTAATTAAATTAAAGTTTTGGGCAATTTTTTTTTATTCGTCAGAATTTAGTTCTTTGTTGTCATTTAGTCGTTGCCTTCAGACCTCAACGGAAAACAAACCTTATTTTTTTTTTAAATATTCCAATATCAGTAAAATGCACGCACCTTAAGATGGACTTTTAATTTAAAATAGGAATTTGGTACATTCTACTTAATTTTTAAAAATAAGTGCAATTGAACTGATGCAAAAATGCTTTATTGTACTAACAATTACGTTTTTGAAAATCAAAACAATGAATACTCCACTCCAATGAATAGTCCATTTGCGTTAAGAAAATAGTGAGGTATCGATCAAGCCCCGAACCCTGATCAATAAGGTTTCAAGCTTTCGTACGAAACGTTTATTTCTTGGGACCTGTATACTATTGTAACTTGTGGATAAATGAATGAATTGTGACTGTAATAATTGCTTTAAAAGGTAAAAAATCTTGACTTCAGTAATTGCCATGAGGGTCCAGTTTACATGTTTTGGTATTAAATTCATATAGCAAATGAACAATGTTATTTAGCATGGTAGTATTTACAAATGTAATTCCAATCGTTAGTTTTCTAGAATATTTACGTTGTTACGAGTTACATTTGTGAAATCAGGCTCAATTCATATGTTATAAACATTAAAAAGAATATTTAGAATTGGAATATCAATACACAGAAATGTAAGTAGTAATTAATATTAAACAATGAAATTTTACAGCAGCTAAAGTGTATAAATATATACAATTTAAACATAGTTCGTACAGAAGAAAACCAAAATTATTCTGATGATATTATTAAACATATTTGCAATGGGCGCGTACGATATGTGACAGCTAAAGCCTTAAAATAAACAACGAAATAAATTAAACAGACATTAAACCTGTGTAATAAACTTTGTTTACACAAATTAATAAAAAATATATCTAACTGAACATTAAAATTCTGATATAAAAATATAAAAAAATGTTTGATTGTATCTAACTTCAGTTTGTGATATACAGATACAAAAAACCAATACATACATTCAGGTCCCGATAAACAAAGGATAACATATGGATATTATGATCGATAAATTGTTCTTATATTTAAAGAGCCATTGTCACGATAAAATAATGTTTTATCATGATGGATCATTGCGTAATTAAGAACAGTATCTAAAAAGAGCTAATGAGTAGATATCCCTTAACTGTACACTAGGTACCGCGATTTAGATATGAGGAATGAATTGATGAGACTATTATATTTTGCTTGTCGTTGAACCTTCTTTTTTAACCTTCGTTGAATCAATCATGCGAATCTGTTTTGTTTCATTAATAGAAATACATCATTCAGGTGGCTCTAATTTGTAACATCTGCTGTGCAATGTCCGTTCAATGTCAGTTACTTTAATGAAACTATAGACCTAACGTGGTTATTTTAACTTATTTTATCGTGGACAATTGATAACGGCGTATATTTGATCAGTATTTTTCTTACACTAAGTAAATAACATCGATATTACAAAATGTTAGTATGACATAGACAACAAACATAAACTAAGGAACTACGACAATTCAGATAAAACACGCTATCTTCTAGCGATCGATAAAGAAACAAATTTTGTATAAGATCACGCTGAACTCAGCCTTTCTAACCCTTAAACTCTATTATACTCTCCTAGAATGAGCTTTCGAAACATAATAACAATGTTCAATTGTTCAATATAGGTGTTCTAATAAAATCTATTTTTGTGACAAACCCGAGACAAAAATCTTAATAACTACTTTAAAAATGGCAACAGTAAACATAAGTTTACTCAATGACTCGCTATTTTTAGGTCGTTTTACTAAGGGTATAATAATCTTAAATAGATTTTGTGCTCGTGACACGGTGCACTTAATCAGTTAAAGTCCGAGATCGAGCGCGGTATACAGTTTAGAGAGAGATTAATTAAGTACAGCAACGTTGTCAAAATTATCTCACGTTCTAAACGAACTTTCGATTCAGTTAAATTCAATTCAGTTTGTGAACCACTATCGTATTTGTGCACACTCACGTTAGAAAGTGATTTCTTATTATCTAAATGTGGGATTATTTCATTGATGATAATTTTGTAGTAGTTACACGTAGGTAAATTATAAGATTGGTAATTTCAAAGAAGTTACTATGATGTAGGAAACGTGCTTACAGTGATGCATGCTCGCGTCATTAATTTATTGTTCTTAGAACTTTTGGTTTCGAGAGCACTATTAGAGATCGATATAGTAGTATGGAGTGGCCTAGCGTTAAACTCGCAATTTACTTGTGGTTCGTGCATTGCTACAGATAGACTAATGATTCTAGATTAGAAGTTCTTCTTAAAATCTTACATAAGAGAGAAAAATTCAGTCATGGTAGTTTGTTCAGATCTTATTCTTTGAATTTGAAGTTTAAACAAAACTGATCAATTATCTTAGTGGGAGAAAGAAGTAATTGACGTAACTATGTATGTCTATAATCCAATCCTTTTATGAAGCATGAGCTCTTTGCCTGCATTTGTCATATGATCGACACCTTGGTATTCATAAACATTGTGGCACTTTTTTACTTTTAAATGGTAAGATTGACGTCTAACACTCGCACTCGCACACTAATCAAATTCCAGTTTCTTTAACCAGTTTTAAAATAAGTAAACTTGGCTTATTTTATATTTTTATGATGGTGGTTGGATCAAATAAGCCTAATTTTACATGTTCTACATAGGAAGTCTAAAATGTTTTCACATAACTTACTTTATAGTAACATTACAGTTATTTTAGATCACTCATAGATAATTATAAATAATTAAATTAAAAAATAAATTGGCTAGTACTTTTTATAATATTAATTTATAAAACCTGTTAGTCCTTATTTCGACATAGAACAGAGATTAGTAGTGATAAGACAAATTTAGAGACTGTGTAGTACCGAGCTGATTACTTTTTTTTTGCAAATATTTTACATCGCATCCTATTTCATCTTCTATAAGTAATTTCTGTATTACGATGTGCTGGAAATATATCAAGGTGAAGGCATAACTTACATGCGATTGAAATCTGTTAAGAATATGGGTACACCGATCGATATATCTATACTCAACTTACTAGTACAAAATGTATGACTTAGATCACAATCAACAAAATTGTTCATAAAAAGGACTGTAAATTTATTTATTCGATTGTAAAGTACACAGACGTACGTTTTCATAGTATTTATCACTAGATCATAGAAGCGACAACTGACTTTTTACAAATGCTTGGCACTCATACTCAAGTCTAGTACAAAATTGTCATTGAAGAAGCAGATTACGCTTTAAAAACGATTTAATATTTCTTCATACTATCATCGATTACTACTTGTGGTGCTTTTAATATTTTTTTAAACTAAAGCTGGTGTATCTAATAGAATATTATTTTGTAGTAAAGTACATTATAGATTTTAGTCTATGCGTTGCTAGACTCAAGTTCGACGCCAGTGACGGTGGTGCTAAGAGTCCCGTTCACCAGAATGTCATGCAGCGGTTGGCCGAGCATACCGGATAGTGAATGGCTTAGCTTGTAGTAGTTTGTTTCCAAAGCCTCGTGGTAGGACACTTGATCTGAGCTGATCAACTTGGCGTTCAGTTGCAGTGCTGTATGGCATACTGTTAGGAACTCTCTGAAAAATAAAATATGTATTATTTTTATTAGTGTAAGATGATATATTGTTGTGTACCGCTTTGAATGAACTATAGAAAGAGCTTTGTCCATGAGCATGATTCTCATATACTTTTAAGGCATTAGAAGAGATGACGGTAAGGACTTTTACTTAACACTTTAAATTTCATTTCTGTGGTACGTGGTTAGTTACTTTTAGGTAGTAGTCACAAACATTTTAGATCTAATATTGGCTGAGGTCCTCCAGTCATATTGGATTTATAGATACAGGTATATATGGATGCAATATTGAAGGTATGTAAATATAGAGGACTTAAAATAAAACTTACTTGAATATGTGTTTCAGTTTATCAACCATGTCGTCTGGATACATGGGTGCGAGCGTTGGGTCCAAGAAGGCGTTGGCATACGCCAGCGGTCCCGCGTTTACTTGAACACATACGCTGCCTTGTAATCTGTGAAAAACAAACGTTAATTAATAATACAAATTGCACCAAATTCTGTATGAGTAGTTAAGTAAATATTACCCCCTGTACACGTCAGTTTAAGTTTTCTGAAGAAATCTGCAATACCAACATTGTATAGATGTAAGTTACTATTCATGTATACTATGGTACATTATAACTCAATGCCCATAAAAAAAAGTTGTGTAATAACTATCAGAGAAAAAACTGAGGTATGTTCTTTATTTCAATGAAAGTTTGTACAGCCAAGGGTGTGAAGAGTCCGGAGGCGCACTACTAAGGTCCTTGGAATGAGTGTATGGCTTTATTCCTTAATGATACTAGATTACTTTGATTTTTTTACTTGATTAGTATACAATTAAGTATTGCGTCAATTTGTTTAGTACATCTAGCGTTTTATATATTTCATCTTATTTTTCAAGTAAATAAATCGTAACTAAACTATAAATGCGAAGGGTAGTTTGTTTATTTGTTATGCTTCCACTTCTCAACCGATCATCATTAAATTTACGACACCAACACGTTTTCTGGGGTACAGAAAAGGACATAGCACTTTTCATCAAAAAGAACACTATTTCTGGCGGATACCGAAAAACCGAATGAAGCTGTAAAACAGGGATTCCCAAAGTGGTCGATATCGTTCCTTTGGGGTCGAAATCGTTTTCCCAGGGGTCTACATAAACGAAAACTGAGTTTGGGGGTCAAAGAGGTCTAAAAATCACAAGTTCTTATTTGAAACTTTCAAGATACGGTATTAGTTGTGTTACGTGTACCAACTTGTTATAAGAATGACTAAGATTGTAGTGGGACGTATCATTGTTGTATTTTTAAATACTCAATAAGTCAATAAGCGTGCAGTAATTTGGCTATAGGGGTCTGAGGTATCAGTTCATTTTAGAAAAGGGGTCAAAATAACCCCTGCTGTAGAAGCAAGAACAATTTGCGAAAGCCATTCTAACTATAATATTATAGATGCAACGCAAGTTTGTAACATTTTCCCATGTTCACTATCCAAACAATCGTTATGAAATTTTACAAGGGCCAATTTTAGTAAGGGCCTTCGAAAAGACACGAGAACCTTTCATTTCCAAGGAAAGATACCTACTGTCCCTAAAAGAAAATGAATTTATTGATAACAACTATATAAACGTTCGCGAATCTTTAGTTAAAATCTATAAATAAATTTCATAAAAACTACTAAGCTTAACAACTTTTTGCCTCATGTCAAACGCCCATGACGTTGTCAGGTGATCATGTGACAAGGGTCACGTAAAAAGACGATACACAGAAAGCAATAAAACGAAACGGGTGCCATCACGTAGATTAGCTGTTTTCGCGTGGCGTGACTCCTGGTGTCATTGACCCGTGTCGTTAGTAGCCCGTAATATAAAGATAAACGTTAAAAATATTTCATAACTTATACAATCAATGATTTAAATTTTAATTCGTGTAATGATATATTTGGAAAAGAGGGAAATTCTTTTGATATCAAAATAGAAGATTTTAATAACAACAATTTTACACTTTTAATATCAATAAAGGGGTTTGTTCAAGCAACAATGGATTTAGTATCGCTACAAACAGCTTTGTGACAAAAAAAAATCACTGTTATATGATGGCATTAATATATGTATACATTTAGGAAAACTAAACATCTATTGTAAAACTCTCTGCATTTCGTGGAAATCGTTGGTAAAATTCGGAAAACAAAATATTTTCTATTACAAATACGTGGCTAATCGTGTGCTAAAAGTTCAAACTTTTAGCATAATTACCAAAAACCTATGTTTGGTTGTCTATTTATCAAAAATAAATCAACTACGAGAACCATACTATTTTCAAAAATCGGTGTAGATGACATCCAAGTACATACATCACATCAGTTTTGTCTAACAGCTTTGTCTGCTAACGTTGATGCCGCAGTCGAAGTGCACAGTAAACACATCGACGAACAAATGTTTCGATTTTACGGGTGTGATATCCTATCTCACAATCACTTTTTAAAGTTTTTGGATTTAGGTATTTCATACGCAGTCGTGTAGTTACGATATAAAAAAGCAACAACAACGGAGTCATGGTCAAATCTCAAATGATCTAGTTCCCTCACAAAATCATTTTAGTATAATTTAAACATTTGTTGTGTATGATGATTTGATCAGGACCTGACAAATACACAGAAATTTAAAAATTATGTATTAATGTTGATACTTATGTAACAAAATCAATAGCTCCAAAATAAAGGTGTGTACCTACTACTTCCTACACTATTGTAACAAAAGGAAATTAAAGAAAAACGAACTAGAATCTATTAATGCTCTTGTGAGGAACAATAATTACGGATTTTAATATTAGATTACATTTAAAAACTATAAAAAGAAATTGTTAAAATCTTAAACTTGAGGCACAACGAACATTACAGCAATACCAGACGTGGTCCTTCCCCTTTACAAATTATTATGGTTACGTGTATTTAAAATCAAGCTGATTTGTTATTTTCAAAAAAAAGAACATTCAGATCGTACTTGTTCGTCTGGTAGTCACACCATATGATTGAGTCAACAATAAAGAAAGGGTATGGGCTCCTAATATAATGATATTTTAGAAAAGATTTTTATTTGAATAATATTTCAGCCAGGAAGTTTATTTATCCTTCTGATAATGTAAATTTAAAAAAATTCAAGAATTATGTCTAACCTAAATAATACTATCTAGCATTTTATCTAGATTTTATAAATTTTTAGTGTAAACAGAAATATTTACCGATCTTGTCTATTACATACAAGATTGTGAGTTTAATGACCATTTAACCCCTGCCCTTTCGCGATCAGGCGATCAAATAATTACTGTATGAATGAATTTAATTACAATTAGTCAAAACAAACATTCTATTTATTACAATGATAACTGGATGATGAATTTATTATTTAGGGGTCCATTGGAATAAGTGATTTTCTACCTTGTGACGCAATTATCGTACACGATCGATTTATTTTCTGTCCCGGGTATGAGCTTCACTATCGACTCCATGTATTAATATGAATGTTTATATGTAGTATTTGTACCCCATTTGTACATGGTCATTGGTAACTTGGAATACTATTGTATGTATAATGTACTGAACTGGTGTACAATAAAGCTTATTCTATTTTACTTATTTATATTTGGTAAATGCCATTTAGGCTTTGGGAAAGTTCAACTTTACAAACACATATCTGTGGATCTGCAGGTCTTATTTAGAGAAAGCTATGTTTACAAAGAAGTTTTTTTTAAAAGACGACTCCCACTTACTAGGAATATATCCTGTGTCTTTACACTGTTTGTGAATTTACAAAAATACATGAAAATGACACAAAGAACACCCAGATTTAGAACAACAATTTGTGGATCACACAAAGTGTCGTCCCATGTCGGGATCGGCCCCCAAACACTCAGCGTAAGCGGCGGGGCGACCGCTTATACCACAACGCCATCCGTGCAGTCAATATTGCGAAAATTATTTTTTTAATTTTCTGATACAAACTTGACATAACATATCCTTTCGGCAAAAGCTAGGATGCAAATGCGACGAAAAAATCTAAGCTCTGTTGCGTTGACAAACCTCCCTATTATTATTATAGACAGGTCAATATTTCAAGTTGTCAAAGTATGTTAAATATAAAAACAATATCTAGTTCTAAATCTGTGTTAAAGTTTTGGGAAAATCAAAATTGACCTGGCACTTAAAACTTCGACGAAACAAAGTATATACAAACCTGAGTTGTAATTTCTTGATGTCAGGCGCTTTGGCGTTGACAATCTCAGCTAGTTCCACCACTTGACTTTCCATTTCTGACAAAGCGACTTCAATGGGACTTTTCTCTTCAATTTGCGTGTCAATGACCGGCACTCGACGCGTTACATACGGGAACCAGTATTCAACTGTAAAAATTATGTATTTTAGAAATAACAAAAGGTTAGCAATCTTTTTTCTTGCTAAAGTATAACGATTGATCAATAACTTATGTATATATTATATATACACACTAAGACTTGCGATCATGGTGATGCATGATAGCGACAATGTGTATGGTATGTAACAGATAAAAACTATTTAGAGTTAGATATTTTAATCTTCGGGACTCTATCGATCAGGTGAATAAAAATTAGACGTATGTTGTTACACAGACCATTTCTTAATTGATGTTCGCTTCATATCTAGAATCGATTGTACCTCTTCACTGAAGTATGCACTACGAGGTCAATGTTGTTCTGAATGAATTATGCACAGTAAAGTAATAAAACAATAAACGTTATTAGTTTATTGGGCGATAATGTAACAGTCGTAAAACTTTATTATATGACAATTGTTGTTACCATAACGACGAGGTTTTTAACAATTCATGTCAGACATTGAGCGCTAAAACTTGATCTGGAAACGTATGTAGGAATTTTTCTTAATTTTTAAACTACTAATTTAAATGTGTGATTATTAAATAAATACGCCATTATTACATAAAGACAAAGCGACCTGAAAATATACTTACTTATAACTTTCAACTATGACTATGAACATGTCAATTAAAATCGCGTTAAATTGTTAAGTTACTAATATAATTAACTAACGGAAACTAAAGTAAAATGAGGTATAGTGTTCTCAGTTATGATTTCACAAATAATTATAAATGAAAATATGTGTGTTTTCACGCCTTCAATATTTAACCCAGTATAATGTAAAAGCTAAATATACATATAGTATTTATATCTGAACATAGTGTAGGAATATGAATTGATCTAGTTCCAATCGACTTGCTTGTCTCTTGTTTAGCAATAAGGACGCCTTTTGTACACGTACTGTGCAGTACTTGGATGTATTTTTGTTCACCAGTTTGTCCCAAAGTATGAGAGTACGATAAAATGTAGTACCCAGTGCCTACAGCGGAAAGTGCATCAGCTGCGGAGTGAGACACGGCTAGACTTCATTGTATTATATGTGAACACAAGCGAGGTGTGCCTAGAATTAACTAGGGATCACAGAATTAAGAAAACACTAAGCCCCTTGTAAGTAATTGTAATAATGTCTGGGCGTGGTAACAAGTCGGTTTACAGTACAGTTTAGTTACCAGTAAGGTGTGTAAGTCTCAGTCTCTGATGATGTACAGGTCCACGGGCAGCACCGTCTCGTGTGAAAGGTGTTTCGAACACAAAACGGCGAATATTGTGTGCGCGGTCAAACGAGCCTTCGCCACTACTTGATGCAGGCGAGACACCTTCCGGAGCAGCGCGTACCCATGTTACTTGGATGTATGCGAGTTTGCTGTCAAGCTCTTCTCTATTTACCTGTTATTAGGAATAAAGCACATCTGTTTAAACTTACCGATGACGATATTTAAGATATATATATATAATATAGAGTTATATATATATATAAGATAAAAACAGCTATGTACAGAAAGCATCCGACCGTATCAGATCCAATTTTAGCTCTTAAATAGCGACATTTGTACGATTGTTATTAAAATCAAGTATATATAAGTAAGTATTTAGTATTAAAATAAAATGATAAAGATATTGATGGATAAATATCGTTTTAGCTTTGTTAACATTTTTTGCATTTCTAACATGCAGTATTTGTATTCACATTTTGTTATTTTTTTAATTTAAATTTAGACACTTCATACATAACTTCAGTTTCCATTGTTCATGAGAAATACAGATATTTTTATATTGCAATAAAATTAATTGTTATTAAATTTAGTATTGACTTAACTTGAAACGTGAAATTTAATTTTGTGTCTGATAAGGCCAGGTTAGGGCTATAAAACGAGACATTTAACTTATTCTGATAGTTGGTATTTAATTGACTGAGAAGTAAGTACTTCACTCGTACATTAAAGTTTATATCTTATTACCTGGTCAATAAAAGAGTCTTTTCTTGAATTACATTCTAACTTTGTGTCCTTTTAGTATGCCCATACACTATGGGCTAAACAATAAACGTTAACAAAACTCTACATAAGACAATAAATTAATCTTATATTACTACGATAAAAAACCGTACTATGAATAATTTCTAAAATGTTTAAATTTTAACGATTTTATGACGGTAGCAATGACCCTTAGAAGAATAAAGTACATAATTGAGAGTTAAATCAACGAAACAACTCTAATGATGGAAAAAAAGAAATTGTGTGATAACTTTAAATATGATTAAAATTTATGAGTATGCAACTTTACAAGAAGCATGTAGTTGATTACAATTTACATTAATTAGAATGTATAAAGTGTATAAACGTCTTTAATAAGGGCTCTAGTGATAATACATCAGGACACGTATTTACGTATTAAGTATAAGATAATTTACACATGTTGCATCACGTGCAGTAACAAATAGGGCAGTTCGACAGGCCGTAACACCTGTAGCCTAAAGAAGACTGCTATTAGAACGTATAACATAGTTTTTTCGTGTACCTAAATATAGGTGTAAAAGTGGTCGCCAGTACTCCATAACTAATGAAAATGACAACATATCATCGGTGTTTTTGGAAGTGTAGTAACAGTTTATAATAAATCAAGACTTATGCAAAAAGATATCGAAATAAAAAAAAAAAACAAGAAAATTACAGTATGAAATTTGAAGTTGTTGGTTTCAGAAAAATAACTTGAAATAAGGTAGACTTGAGAAGCACCTGTTCAAGTATTTGGTATTGCCCTAGGTATGTGGAAAGACTTCCATCCTACAGATGTAATTAAAGAACTGCTGTTTGCAAGGAAAATCAGATTAATTTCTTATTTAAATTTGAATTACTGGGAAGATGTAGATTTCTTTTTTGAAAATGTGAAAGTAGGTAATCCTGCTCTTTATCAAATAGTGATAAAATACTCAAGCAACATTATACTTCTATATAGTAAGAAATATAATAGCCTTTTTCACTAAACACGACAAACATAAAAGAATCTATGTAACATTGAATACTGACCGGTGCTGAATCCATAATCATTTTAACATTTCCAGCACCAAATTTCTGTTCGTAGAAGTTTTGTAGTTTTTCTGAGATTTCACTAAGTGAAGTGAGTTTGGGTTCCTTGTAAATGAACTCGATTCCCTCTTCATCTTCGCCAAAATGCGCTTTTCCAAAGAAGGCCACCCGATAAAATCTACCAAGTAAACGTTTCCCTGAATTTGTCACTTCTATAATTTTGGCATATGCTTTGGTAAGATGCTGATAACAACCCAGAAGTGCTTGATAGTCCTTGCGTCGTTCGTAAATAGGTATTGTTAGTCTGTACAATGGACCGAGGAGTTCGTATCTCTCCGCCTTGTCGACGTACTCCGTGCAGATTATCAGTTGTTCAAGAAGAGCTTGTTCGTTGTAGTGAACATCTGTCATACCTAAAACAAAAATTATTTTTACTGTCTGTAATCTATATAAATAAAAATGCATGGTTGAATATATTGCTAAGAGCAAAATTGGAAAATGTCTGGACAAACAATCAAAAGACTAATTTGGTTAATTTTTATTTAACATTTAAATTATAGTCTGTATAGGCTTATGAGGCAACGAAACGTTATAAAAGTAGACCGTCAAATAGAAATTTATAAAAATGAACAAAGCCTGTGCCTATTTTCTTTACTTTACTTTAAACTTCGTCTTGAGAATGAGATTGATATTTTGATTGATCTGATAGGTTTGGGCAGTAGCAAAATCTCAAGTTAATTGATATAATATATCAAGAGTTTATAAGAATGAATATCTCTTTAGATTTGTTTATGTGTAGGGACATGTTTCGAGATATTTGTTGTAAAATCTGCTTAGCAACTATAACTTTCAAGTTGCAGCTCATAAGCTCGAAATTATGGGGTTTAAGTTACATACTTTGAGGGTGACACGATAAGGTTTTAGCTAGCTAGCGCTGACTAGTAGATTAGTTCCTGGTTGTACTTATGTAAAAGACATTTCTCAGTGCAACCGTCACATACAATATACTACACAATTTACAACGTTGTTTTTATTTAAAGAAACAAATGGCTAAACGTGACTGTTTATAATAGCATAAAAAAAAAACAATAAACTGAATTATTCATATGAATGTTGCCTTTCTTACTTTATTTTGGATTAAATATTAGACCTATACTAATTGCGATCAATATACGATATTAAATAAAATGGGTTGGGACTGTGTCGTTCTATTGTTATGCGTACTTATTTATATACGAATGGCGTAGTGGTTTGTGAAACGGACTGCTATTCCAAAGGTCGCGGGTTCGATTCCCGCTCAAGTCAAACATTTATGTGCATGAACATTTAATGTTTGATTTGGTCTGGGTGTTTCCATGTATAATAAGTATGTATTTACAAAAAAAAGTATATATGTATTTATATCAGTTGTCTAGTACCCATAGTACAAGCTCTGCTTAGTTTGGGACTAGATGGCGTTGTGTGAATGTGGTACAATATTATTATTATATATGTACATTTAACGCATGTGAGATGATCAGATTTACAAAAGTAATTGGACACAGATTTCCAACTTCGAAAAAGATGGTTGTCAATAGTCTAAGTAATTTCCTTTTCAATTAAATAATATCTGAGAACCCGTTTCATATTATATTATTCCAGTTTTTAATACTAGATCATGTACTCCTTGCGTTTTGGACATATTTTTTTTCTCTTTTAATTATTTTGTTTCTTATGGATTGAGCACGAGTGCTTTTGTCATTTTTTTTAAACTTTGTCATTTGTATTGGCTTTCACTAATATATTATGTTTCAACGAAACGTCGCCATGTAGTGGAAAATAATTTTTGAACTTTAAAAACTTAAGCGTTAAAGTTAAAACGTACATGATATCGTTAATGTTGATTGCTGTCATAGTTTGTACGGTTTCCATGTGTTATAATGACCAAACATAAAAGAAAAGTGGTAAGTAATTTCCTTCGCTAGGTACTGTGATATATGTGTTAAACGGTTGGTAACTAGAAATAAATGAAGAGATAACCTATATTTCTCTAAATAATATTACAGAGTTAGTCATCAACATGCCTCGTAGATAAGTAATGTAATATGCATAATTAATCAGTAATAGCTCGAAAGCATTACCTTCTTAGATCAAGACAAGATCGTTTACCGGCACAGATTATTATTTATTAAATTCATTGCAGACACACACTGCAGAAATTCATTGCAGACACACACTGCAGACTGGTAGAAAATTCCTATGGCATTAAACCCGCTATTGTACATTTTGTGCAGTTTTAAAATAAAAGGAAGATATTTTTAATTTTTTTTACTGACGTCTCCCGCGCTAGTAATAATAATAATAATAAATCACCGAATACCGAATTGGAAATCACCTGGTCCAGACGGACTGCACAACTTTTGGCTTAAGTGGTTCCGAAGCTCACATGCGCGTTTGGCATCTCAATTCCAGGCAGCTTTGGATTCGGGTTCATTACCCCAATTTTTAACCACTGGCATAACCCACTTACTCTATAAGTCTGGTAGTGTCATGGATCCCAAAAATTTTAGACCTATCACATGTTTACCTACCATGTATAAACTTCTAAAATCTATTCTGAGATTTAAAATTACTTTACATATTAATAATAATTCAATTATGTCAGTTTCTCAGAATGGATGTAGAAGTGGGACCCGTCGCACTAAAGACCTCCTTATCATAGACATGACCATTAGCCAACAGGAACGTCGTAATCGTAAGGGTTTGGCGACGTGTTGGATAGATTATAAGAAGGCTTATGACTCGGTTCGACACACATGGCTTTTGAAGGTGCTGGAGTTGTATAAAATTAATACAACTGTGTACACTTTCTTGAAGTCATGTATGGGCAATGGATTACAGCACTTCGCTATCCAGGATGTCGGCAGACGGCGATACACGATGTACTAATAAAGATCGAGCGGGGTATATTTCAAGGTGATAGTCTGAGTCCCTTGTGGTTTTGTCTGGCTTTGAACCCTCTTAGCACTTTATTAGAGGGTTCAGGGTTAGGCTATAGGTTGCAGAAAGATGATCAAGTTATATCTCACCTTCTTTATATGGATGATTTAAAACTGTTAGCCTCCAACAAATTACAATTGACAAAGTTACTAAAGGTGACGGAAAACTTTAGTAATTCTATCAAAATGGAATTTGGTGTAGACAAGTGTGCAGTCATGTATGTAAAGAAGGGTGTGATAGTTGAATCTGAAGGAATAGAGCTTTCAGATACAACAAAACTCAGATCTCTGTCTACCACTGAAACCTACAAGTATCTGGGTATATCACAGTCGTTAGGAATACCAAAATCTAACATGAAACAAACATTGCAGGAACGCTTTTTTGGCCGCTTGAAAAAAGTACTTAAAAGTCTTTTATCAGGGGGCAACAAGGTGCGAGCCTGCAATGGTTGGGTCATGCCAGTTCTGATGTATTCCTTTGGTATACTTAGATGGACTCAGACCGAATTAGATGCCCTTGACAGGAAAGTCCGTACACTGCTGACTGCATCCCGAATGCACCACCCACGTTCATCGGTTATGAGATTGTATATCCCGCGAAAGCTTGGGGGTCGCGAACTATTAAATATCAAGACCCTACATAATCGCGAGATATGCAATCTCAGAGAATATTTTCTACATATTGATGTGGGAGTGCATCGCAATGTAGTTGCAGTGGATACCGGATTCACCCGCACTGGCTAAAGAGAATTGGCGCAGACCTGTAGTACTTCGTGTTAATGATCGCAGGGAAGTATGGAAGGGCAAAGAGCTCCATGGTCGGTTTTATCGGGCCCTAAACGGGTCCGATATAGATTTAAAAGCATCTACGACTTGGCTACGGTATGGTGATCTCTTCGGAGAAACTGAAGTTTTTGTTTGTGCGATTATGGACGAAGTTATCATGACGAATAACTATCGGAAATATATCCTGAAAGATGGTACGGTTGACATCTGTCGGGCACGCCGCCGTCCTGGTGAATCAATCAGGCATATTATTTCTGGTTGTTCTCGTCTTGCTCGTCTTGTTCACGTCTTGCATACCATCTTGTAAATCTAGAGGTGCCATACTACAGGTATGTGCCCGACCCAGTTCTCGAGAATGGTCGGGCCACGTTGTATTGGGATCGATCTATTATCACAGACAGGACTATTGTTGCCAATAAGCCTGATATTGTGCTGATAGATAGATTAGAGCGCCGCGCAATGATTGTTGATATCGCCGTTCCTCATGACGAGAATCTCGTGAAAGTTGAAAAAGAAAAACAAATCAAATATTTGGATTTATCTCACGAGATTGTTGATATGTGGAATATTGATTCAGTGATCATTGTTCCGATAGTCGTATCTGCTCACGGATTGATAGCCAAGAGCCTCGACCAACACCTTAAGAGGCTCACGTTCGACGGCTGGATCAAGGGTCTGATGCAGAAGGCAGTCCTCCTTGACACGGCTCGTATAGTGAGGAGGTTCCTATCTTTGGAGTCCTAACCACCGGTGTCTTGGTCCCTGTACCCGATGTCGGTGGTCTACTATTTTTTATATTTTTAAATGTATTTTTTTATATTTTTTTATAAAGTGTATGTTTAAAAATGTAAATAATATGTATATAAAATAAATAAAGAGAATAATAATAATAATATACCTCACACATTTCACACACGGCCGTCTGATCCCAAACTAGGCAGAGCCTGTGCTATGGTGACCAGACTGATGATAAACATACTTATATATTTTTAAATACATACATATTATAGATAAATTACACCCAGACACAGAACAAATGATCATGTTCATTACACAATATTTGTCCTGGGTGGGAATCGAACCCACGACCTCCGGCTTAGCAGTCAGGGGCACTAACCACTCGACCAACAGGCCCGTCGGAATAAATCCTGTGTCGCGGCGGACTTTACAATCATACATGAAAAAGACAAAGAATGCCCAGGCTCAGAACAACAATATGTGGATCACAAAAAGTGTCGTCCCATCTGGGGATCGAACCCACTACACTCAGGCAGTAGGAGCTAGCGAGGTGACCGCTTAAACCACTACGCCATCCGTGCAGTCATTTGAAATTTACATTGAGTTTCAGATAACGCAATAGTAGTAATATCGTATAGTACGATTGCGATAGGAGATAAAATAATAATATTTCAGAATTCCCACCTGACAACCCAGAGGCGGATTAAGTATCAAGAGCGCTCTAGGGAAACATCTTATTAGCGTCCCCCACCCCTCGCCCCCATACTATATTATTAACTACTAGCTGAGACCCGCGGTGTTACCCGCGTTTGTTGTTATAACCGCGGGCAACGCCGCGGGGCGAAGCTAGTCTTAAAAAAGTAGCCTAAGTTACTCCTTATGTCATCAGTTATCTGCCAGTGAAAGTCC